TTAGAGAAAAATAAATCATTAATTTTGACTGATTTCACCCCAAATTTTCGGACATTTTATTTTGCAAAGCACATGTGTCCAGAAATCGAATTGGAATGTGTTCTATGGTCCTTTAGGCATCTTTCCAGCAAGTTTCAAGCAATTTCATTTTTTGGCCAAAATTGAAAAAAATACAAGGGGTAAGCCTTACTTTTTTGATGAAATTTGGCCAAAAAATGAATTTTCTTCAAACTATGCAGAAATTCTTTAAAAGGCAAGAGGAGCATCAATCAACATTCAAACACCAAATATATTGAAGATTTGGGCAAATATCATCGATATTTAGAGAAAAATAAATCATTAATTTTGAATGATTTCACCCCCAATTTTCGGACATTTTATTTTGAAAAGCAAATGGGTCCAGAAATCGCATTGGAATGTTTTCTATGGTCCTTTAGGCATCTTTCCAGCAAGTTTCAAGCCATTTCATTTTTTGGCCAAAATTGAAAAAAATACAAGGGGTAAGCCTTACTTTTTTGATGAAATTTGGCCAAAAAATGAATTTTCTTCAAACTATGCAGAAATTCTTTAAAAGGCAAGAGGAGCATCAATCAACATTCAAACACCAAATATATTGAAGATTTGGATAAATATCATCGATATTTAGAGAAAAATAAATCATTAATTTTGACTGATTTCACCCCAAATTTTCGGACATTTTATTTTGCAAAGCACATGTGTCTAGAAATCGAATTGGAATGTGTTCTATGGTCCTTTAGGCATCTTTCCAGCAAGTTTCAAGCCATTTCATTTTTTGGCCAAAATTGAAAAAAATACAAGGGGTAAGCCTTACTTTTTTGATGAAATTTGGCCAAAAAATGAATTTTCTTCAAATTATGCAGAAATTCTTTAAAAGGCAAGAGGAGCATCAATCAACATTCAAACACCAAATATATTGAAGATTTGGGCAAATATCATCGATATTTAGAGGAAAATAAATCATTAATTTTGAATGATTTCACCCCCAATTTTCGGACATTTTATTTTAAAAAGCAAATGTGTCCAGAAATCGCATTGGAATGTGTTCTATGGTCCTTTAGGCATCTTTCCAGCAAGTTTCAAGCCATTTCATTTTTTGGCCAAAATTGAAAAAAATACCTTACTTTTTTGATGAAATTTGGCCAAAAAATGAATTTTCTTCAAACTATGCAGAAATTCTTTAAAAGGCAAGAGGAGCGTCAATCAACATTCAAACACCAAATATATTGAAGATTTGGGCAAATATCATCGATATTTAGAGGAAAATAAATCATTAATTTTGACTGATTTCACCCCAAATTTTCGGACATTTTAATTTGCAAAGCACATGTGTCCAGAAATCGAATTGGAATGTGTTCTATGGTCCTTTAGGCATCTTTCCAGCAAGTTTCAAGCCATTTCATTTTTTGGCCAAAATTGAAAAAAATACAAGGGGTAAGCCTTACTTTTTGATGAAATCTGGCCAAAAAAATGAATTTTCTTCAAACTATGCAGAAATTTTTTAAAGGCAAGAGGAGCATCAACCAACATTCAAACACCAAATATATTGAAGATTTGGGCAAATATCATCGATATTTAGAGGAAAATAAATCATTAATTTTGACTGATTTCACCCCAAATTTTCGGACATTTTATTTTGAAAAGCACATGTGTCCAGAAATCGTATTGGAATGTGTTCTATGGTCCTTTAGGCATCTTTCCAGCAAGTTTCAAGCCATTTCATTTTTTGGCCAAAATTGAAAAAAATACAAGGGGTAAGCCTTACTTTTTTGATGAAATTTGGCCAAAAAATGAATTTTCTTCAAACTATGCAGAAATTCTTTAAAAGGCAAGAGGAGCATCAATCAACATTCAAACACCAATATATTGAAGATTTGGGCAAATATCATCGATATTTAGGTGAAAATAAATCATTAATTTTGACTGATTTCACTCCAAATTTTCGGACATTTTATTTTGAAAAGCACATGTGTCCAGAAATCGTATTGGAATGTGTTCTATGGTCCTTTAGGCATCTTTCCAGCAAGTTTCAAGCCATTTCATTTTTTGGCCAAAATTGAAAAAAATACAAGGGGTAAGCCTTACTTTTTTGATGAAATTTGGCCAAAAAATGAATTTTCTTCAAACTATGCAGAAATTCTTTAAAAGGCAAGAGGAGCATCAATCAACATTCAAACACCAATATATTGAAGATTTGGGCAAATATCATCGATATTTAGGTGAAAATAAATCATTAATTTTGACTGATTTCACTCCAAATTTTCGGACATTTTATTTTGAAAAGCACATGTGTCCAGAAATCGCATTGGAATGTGTTCTATGGTCCTTTAGGCATCTTTCCAGCAAGTTTCAAGCCATTTCATTTTTTGGCCAAAATTGAAAAAAATACAAGGGGTAAGCCTTACTTTTTTGATGAAATTTGGCCAAAGAATGAATTTTCTTCAAATTATGCAGAAATTCTTTAAAAGGCAAGAGGAGCATCAATCAACATTCAAACACCAATATATTGAAGATTTGGGCAAATATAATCGATATTTAGAGGAAAATAAATCATTAATTTTGACTGATTTCACCCTAAATTTTCGGAAATTTTATTTTGAAAAGCAAATCATGTGTCCAGAAATCGAATTGGAATGTGTTCTGTGGTCCATTCAGCATCTTTCCAGCAAGTTTCAAGCCATTTCATTTTTTTGCCAAATTGAAACAAATACAAGGGGTAAGCCTTACTTTTTTATGAAATTTGGCCAAAAAAAATGAATTTTCTTCAAACTATGCAGAAATTCTTTAAAAGGCAAGAGGAGCATCAATCAACATTCAAACACCAAATATATTGAAGATTTGGATAAATATCATCGATATTTAGAGAAAAATAAATCATTAATTTTGATTGATTTCACCCCAAATTTTCGGACATTTTATTTTGCAAAGCACATGTGACCAGAAATCGAATTGGAATGTGTTCTATGGTCCTTTAGGAATCTTTCCAGCAAGTTTCAAGCCATTTCATTTTTTGGCCAAAATTGAAAAAAATACAAGGGGTAAGCCTTACTTTTTTGATGAAATTTGGCCAAAAAATGAAGTTTCTTCAAACTATGCAGAAATTCTTTAAAAGGCAAGAGGAGCATCAATCAACATTCAAACACCAAATATATTGAAGATTTGGATAAATATCATCGATATTTAGAGAAATATAAATCATTAATTTTTATTGATTTCACCCCAAATTTTCGGACATTTTATTTTGCAAAGCACATGTGTCCAGAAATCGTATTGGAATGTGTTCTATGGTCCTTTAGGCATCTTTCCAGCAAGTTTCAAGCCATTTCATTTTTTGGCCAAAATTGAAAAAAATACAAGGGGTAAGCCTTACTTGTTGATGAAATTTGGCCAAAAAAATGAATTTTCTTCAAACTATGCAGACATTCTTTAAAAGGCAAGAGGAGCATCAATCAACACTCAAACACCAAATATATTGAAGATTTGGGCAAATATCATCGATATTTAGAGGGAAATAAATCATTAATTTTGACTGATTTCACCCCAAATTTTTGGAAATTTTATTTTGAAAAGCACACGTGTCCAGAAATCGAATCGGAATGTCTTCTATGGTCCTTTAGGAATCTTTCCAGCAAGTTTCAAGCCATTTCATTTTTTTGGCCAAAATTGAAAAAAATACAAGGGGGTCAGGCCAAAAAAAAAAAGTCTCCGGTTTCTGGTATGCGCGCGCGTCGCCGTGGCCATGCGCGTCGGCAAAATGAAAAAGTTTTTTTTTCAATACAAGATGATGTCTCAAAACCGCCAAACTCACTGGTTTGACTGGAATCCTGCTGCTGCACAATTTTAACGTGTTTTTAGATGGGGTTATGATCGAGAATAAGATTTATGTGGCCTCTCTGGACTCCCATATATTTGCACTAAGTTAAGTCGAGCACCATTTGCAGTCATCAGCCGACATTTGAAGCGAAAAAAAAAAAAACAGGTAAAAAAAAAAAAAAGCCGCGTCGCCGCACCACTTTTGGGGCAAGCTCCATACCAGAAACCGGAGACTTTTTTTTTTTGGCCTAAGCCTTACTTTTTTGATGAAATTTAGCCAAAAAATGAATTTTCTTCAAACTATTCAGAAATTCTTTTAAAGGCAATAGGAGCATCAATCATCATTCAAATACCCAATATTTTAAAGATTTGGGCACGAATCATCGATATTTAGAAAGATTTTATCTTTGTCAATTTCTTCCAAAAGAGGGCGCGCTACATAAATACTGCTTACCGAGCCGACTTCGGTCCATATTCGAGATGTACATGTATAAACAAACTATTGTGAGCTCGAAAACTCAATAAAAGCACATTGCATTGAAATGATATTGAGTCCAATTTTGTTTCCTATGATATTTGACTCAACGCCCTGGAAAATTGATCATGAATAAAAGTTATACCCTCAAAAGATCATATATATATGAGAGTTGTGAGACCCATACAATTGGGGAATTGAAAAAAAATATGGCAATGAACCTCTGGGCCTGACTTGAGACTTCCAATTCTGAGCATTTTGGATGCAATTGAGCTCGAAAGTGGCGCTATTGTTTCATGTTGTGGAGAGTTCGTTTTTTAAGATGGCTACTTTCCGCTTTGGGAAAAATAGGGGTCGTCTTCTTTGGGTGAGAATTTCTCGAAAAGTCAATTGTCAACCCTCCAAAAAATAGAAAATAAAATAAAAGATGACATATTGATCTCCATTTTTGAAAGAATTTAGAAGTATGGGCATTTAGCACTAGTGTCTATGGGAATTTTAATACAATGAAAAGTACAAATCTATTAAAAAAGAGTAGGCGTTAATACTGTCTGTACGCCTACCGTCCGTGATTTTTGTTCATTATGAAGTATGAGGGCGCTGTTCATTAACAGCTAGTATAATGTACATGTACAGTATATGTGTACATGTACTTATACCCAATCAATGGTTTGATGTTTAATGAATGAACTGATTGAACTACATTGTACATGTATTGACTTTTTTTTAGACTACATGTTACTCATATTAATTTTCAGAACCTTGCCGACCCTCTGATTTGCATGCGGTTCACAAATGCACGTACAGTGACTGAACACTTGCTTGATTTACTCAAAAAGGGGCCAACGCGAATTACCCAACAATACCCAGGCAACCTAATATTAAAGAACATCCAAACATCAATAAAACACATGATGACACATAACATTTCCACCTATATAAAATAAATTAATTTATTTCTTTAAACCCTTACTTTTTAAATATTACCAAGAGACTGTGAGTGTGAGCGAGCATATCTGAAATGAATGCATGATGTTCTTGGCCAGAATGCGACAGGTGTATTCAGTTGGGCAAAGTGCACTATAATTACGTTTCGAAATTGAAGTTGCAAAGCAGTACACTTATTAAACCCTGAGGAGTAAAATATGTTCCATTTCTTTTAAACGAGTACATGTACACAACTTCAAAATGGATCGAAGATGCATAGGCCCTATGTACAATGAAGTTTTCCAAGTCAAAAAGAAGCGCTCAAAAAGAGTAACTTCTGTTAATGTCCAGGTTTTGCAAAAAAGTTCAGTTTATTTCTTGGCTGGTTTCTTGGTTGGCTTCTTGGTCGTTTTCTTCGTTGATTTCTTGGTCACTGGTTTCTTGGCTGGCTTCTTCGGGGATTTCTTGGATGCTGGTTTCTTGGCCGCTGCGGGTTTGGCTGCTGATTTCTTGGCTGATGGTTTGGCTGCTGGTTTAGGTTTCTTGTCCGCCGTCGGCTTTTTGGCCGGCGCCACTTTGCTCTTGCTCTTAGCGGCAGTGGATTTCTTGGCCTTCTTGCTCTTGGCAGCTGGTTTCTTGGCAGGTTTCTTGGCAGGCTTCTTGGCAGCTGGCTTCTTCTTGGGGGCCGCCACCGCCTTGGGCACCTTGAAGCTACCCGATGCTCCCTTCCCTTTGGCTTGTACGAGTGCGCCCGCGGTGGTCATCCGCTTGAGAGCCATCTTGAGATGAACATCGCAGTTATCTCCGACTTTGTAGTTGCCTTTGATGTATTTGGCGATCGCCTGACGGGAAGAACCGTTACGCTCCTTCAGTGCGTTGATAGCCGCGACGACCATATCCGAATACTTCGGGTGTTCAGCGGGCTTCTTGGAAGCAGACTTCTTGGCTTTTGGAGCATCCATCTTTGTACTGATTAACTTTTCACGGAGGAAATAATATCGATGTTGTTGGAATGACAATGCTGACTCCGTTTGTTGTTTGGAAAATGCCCGTTTTGCAGGACGCGGACAATCTATACTGTCATTGCGGACGTTGCAGAAATCACTCCTCCCACAGTGCGCTCGATGCTCGCCATGTCAAAATAAAATGGCGCACTAGGTGCAATGTACTTGTTGGGTCACGAAAATGCCATTTTTGTCATTCTTTGCGACCATATTTCGAGGAATTGAGCCTGAATTCGGAAAGAGCGATGATTTTCCTTGCATATACAGCTCTATCTTTGTGCTGGTCGGTTTCATCCATGCTATTACAGCCGGTTGATGTCGCAGTAGGAATGTTTACAAAAGCGATAGTTCGATTTCGAAAACGTGCTGTAAATCTCACTTTTGGCGGAAACTCCCCAAAATAGTCTTAGACAACTCTCCAAGTCTTAGTCTTTCACTGTGTTGGATAATTTTACTCGAACATGTGAGGTAATTACAAAAAAATCCGGTCGAAGTGGACCCGACAAACACATGAAACCGGGCGGACCCAGCCATCTTCGCAACCGGAACACTATGCCACGGCGCCACTTTTCCACCGATAATCGTTTGAAAACTTGCCTTCCCCAACATTTTATTATGACAAAATTTCACAGAAAAAGGAGAAATTATATTCTTTAACATACAGGCAAAAATCAATGGTCTCACTTATCCAATTACTTCGGTAGGTCGACAGCGCCTTTGCTTGTATAGCGGGTAAACCTACCGGTGACAGCCGCGGCGTTGGCCGGCCTGTCGACGCGGCAGCTGTTGGCTACCTCCCAACCTGGTCGAACCGTAATTATATAGTTTCCCCAAATTTGTTTACTTTTTTTTAAAATAAAATACTGAACTTGAGCTTTTAGCACAAAACTACAGCTACTTCTCGCCCTGTTTTACTTGAGATACGGTTACATAGAATAAAAATCTAATGACAATTGATTACTGGTCTCTATATAATTTTGGAACAAAAAAATGTTGGTTCCCGGCGTTGACTGTGGGCAATAATTTTAAAATACAATTTAGGTCCCCAATGCATTATGCTCTTCATCGAGATGAATTTCTTGGTCCAGTGGTACCACCTTTTGAATTGAAACTTTTTGATGAAAAATTGGGATGGGAAACCAACACAACTTGCAGGGTCACCAGAAACTGTCGGCGGTATTTTGAAATCAATTTTGACACCGTCCAGCTTACTCCGTCAGCTATACCCGACTTGTATTGCTCAAAACATGCTGAAGAACATCATTGCTTAAGACTTATCATTACACGACTCTAATTGTTGTTTTACTTAAATTTCATGCTTACTTTGATGTTAGCATTATGGGTCATAAATTGAGGTCCAATTTATTCCCTTTTCCTTTTACATCTTTAACTAGGCTATGATCTTAAAATTCTGTTAGGCCCTACCTTATAATCAGTGCAATTGTCCCGAGAGTGATTATCATAGAAAACTACAGGCCCTATAGGCCTATCCAACAAATGTAAAAAAGAAAATTGAAGTCATTCTTAATAATACATGCATGGCACATTTACAGAGTAAGCCTACCTAGGTAATATGCCAGGAAAGTGAAATTTAGGCCCCAAATTTATAGAAAGAGTTCAATGACCCTTGCAAAAGTACCCTTAAGGCTTAACCCCGTACGAAGGATATGAACAGGCGGCATGAGAGAGCTATGTTCACTATCATTTGAACGCCTCAGTGGTGTGCTTTTATTTGGGGCATCGGTGTTATCACAGTAACTGGCAGACAGTCTTAAGACTTCAGGTTCAAAGAGTCAGTGCAAACTGTGAGCCGAAAACTAGCGTCCTAGTCCAACGGGCATCATTCAAAATTCCGGGAAATCAACATTTTTTCAGCTGATGCATTTGTTGTCATATTGAATGATGTGGCGTCCCAGTGAACTTGCGAACACAGGTTCAGTGCGCATAATAATCCGGCACAGGGATGATTCAGTGAAAGTTATGATCCCTACTAGGCCGGCCCAAGGCCTGAACAACCCCCTTGCCATTTATTTGCACTTGGACACTGTACACCGCAATTACCGAGAAATATGATTCCACGTTGGCGTATATACTTATGGGTGTAATATCCAGGGTTTTTTCCCAGTTTTGTTACAAGGCTCGGAGAGAAAGAATGATCGGATCAGAATGATCGGAAATGTCAAAATGATGATGCGCTGCGCCATGCATGTGGGGTCGGCAAAGGATTATAATGCTGGGGAATGTACATGTGGGGGAAAATCCCCCAAAACCAAATCAACCAACCAAACAAAATGCTCTTTCAATAAACCGATGGCAATTCCTGTTAACGTAATGGTTTATTAGCTTTGTGAGTCAAATTCATGAACTTAATCAAATCAGCAATGTTTACATTTTATTCAAGTTAAATCTGACCATGGCGGACCAAGAAAAGCACCATTTTCTGAAACACAAAACACAACAAGGGCAGTTCACCATAACCCCGTCCCAGGTTTTTAGTCTTTTTTAAGGGGGGGGGGGGGGGAGATTGTTACAAATAAAGAGAAAGCCGTTTTTTTCTCATCAGGAAATTTTTTTTCCGACTTACAAATTGTAGTTATTTTGTTACTTAATAACAAAAGGGAAGTGTAAATGCAAAACAAAACGGCCAAATTTTGTGAGATAAAAATATACAATGCTTGAAATCACAACCTAATTTCCTTTGCCAGGCAGGTTGAATCCCTCAGATCACCGTTCTGTACACCCCATATCATTTCTAAATTTAAAAACAAGTATATCCGAGCTACATGTATATACTGCATCAGTTTTGCCGTATAGCTGCTGTACACATGGCTTGTATTTTGACAATTTCTCCAACCGCCATCAACAAAATACACATACACGAGGACAGACCTTATTCGTAGCAGCCATCTTAGAAAGCAATGTCGTTGTTTTGCTGGGCTATGCATGCATGAACCGTTTGTACATGCATTGTTACTGAATTACAAAACAAAATGCCCTCTAAAATGGCTACTACACATTCGGTCTATTCTAAAGTCTGATGCTGCACCACACACCATTATAAAGGGGTTGCTAAAAACCTATTTCCAGTGTCTCTCCAAACTTCTCTTCACAACATTTGTTTCAATTCTCGCTTTGCAAGATAATTAGTAGTAAACTCAGTGTAGCCTGTACCATATTAGTAAATAAAAAACAAATTGGCAAATGTAAATAATAGATGCCCATTTCAGGAACAGTGGATTACACAAAAGCAGAATACAATCTTAATTTTTAATAAGTAAACGTAAACAATTGGAGGTAAGTGTATATCAAGGGCAACATTTCTCTGCTGGGATAGTATATGGCACAAAATTAAAGTTCATTCTATTTTTGTGTATTTTTTTTTCAAAATAATACCATACATGATCAGATACACAGGACACGTGAACAAGGGTGAGGTAAATATTGCCCTGCAAGTGAAATTTAATTTTCTAACTTCACTTTAGAATTTTTCCAGTTTTAACATGTATGCTAAGCGAAATACACAAGCAGTAAGTAACACTACAACATTTGGCTGAAATATTGACAACTTTTGCTGAAAAAAAACGGTCAGTAAATAAAATGTGATTTGACAATGACACCTGCAACTTACTGTGTTGCTTGAAAGACATGTTAAAGTCTAACAGTTATTAACCATTACATTTGTTAATCCCTAAAAATATTAATTCTACAATCCAAATTATTGACTATAACAAAAGAAGACAGATATACATGTCATTTCAAACCTTTGGTCCTGCCATAAGAAAATAACTGATATTGTACAATTTTTTTTTCATATTATATTTTTGGAATAATACACTAGTATTCATTAGCAAATTGAAAGAATGCAGTTAACAGTGCAAGTTCCATCTTGTGCACATAATTAAATCCAGTGAATAGGTGCTGTACTTGCTTATATGTTTACATTCAGTCACTGGTCACTTGAAATGCAATCGACTCACAAGGCTGTACAATAAGTAACATAGAATGAATAATACACGAATAATGAAAGTTTTATGAGTGCAATGGTAAGAATAATTTCATGAGGTGACAGATGGAATGTTCCATTCTACGAAGTGAAGCCGAGTGGAATGGAACATTCCATCTGTCACTGAATGAAATTATTCTTTCCATTGCACGCATGTGACACATTCATTTTATGTTTTATACAACACCTGAAAAAATCCTTGTCATCCGATTGGTTAGAGCCACCAAACGTGTGACCGTGCAATGGAACTTCCATTTACCATGGATTAGAAATTCTATTTTTGCGAAGCGGCTGGGCCGTGGCTGGGACGAATAATTATCAGATACCTATCAGATGACGGGGATTTAGTCAGGCGTTCTTTAAAACTGAACGCACACTGTGCAAGAAAAGAGTGTTCCGTAATATGCATACAATTCTGAGACTTGTATAGTTATTAACAAATGTTTCAGTGTGTTGCTATTCATTTAACGGCCCCGTCACTTATGAGCACATGCCACAGAAATTGATGAAATTTAGTTAGTTGTACACTATGTAAGTGGTTCTTCAACACGAAGAAAGCTGTTCATTGATATCGTTTTGACTGTATTGTGATGAATGTTTACACATATTTTTATTTCATGCAGAAATTTAATTTATGGTGTAAGTAATGCATGTTGTTATACATGTAGTTGTGGATCGTTTCTAACTGTACACTTATATAAGTATTTAGGATTTTCTTATAGGTTTCTTATAGTGTGCCCATTCCCACATGTTTGAAATTGAATTTTGTTGTAATATAACTATAATGTTATTAATGGGCAATGTTTTGCTGTCACTGACCATGACACTTGCATGGCAACAGAAGCTGCCAACAGTAACTATAACAACCAGACAGATCGTATTAAAAAATGAACGCTTTTCACTAAATCGTCTTCCCAATCACAATATAATACGTTCAGACAAATGAGAGCTAGCACCAGAAAATAATGCTCAGATTTCATCAAAAAGTTCATCTAGATCAAAACGCTGAGGTACTTTTTAATGTCTACAAATTTTGGGTAAATGTAATATACATCAGGTTAGGTGCTACGGAAAAAAAAAAAACAATTATGTGCGCCAAGTTTGGTGCCATTAAACAAATGCCCTTTGTTTTCTTCGATCCGATGTTTTAAGCTTGTGGCTTGATATACCAAGGGGCGGATCCAAGGGGGTGGTTGGGGTGGCTAACCACTCACCCTCTGACTGGCCAAAGCTAATTATAAAGTCCACAATTTCCTTAAAGTTCCCTGAATAATGATATCACTCATTATAACTTATAGCAGGCTTCCACGTACAAAAGTAAATCAGCATATTGTACGGTTATCGGAAGAAGTACCCGGATGACTGCAATATGATTTTTGATATTGTTTTCATCCGGGCAGTTTCACAAATTTTGCTGGTTCCCACACAATCAAGAGCGTAGCAACTCACAGGTGTCAACCAGTCATCAGAGCGTAGCGCGCAGTACCATCGAAAGCGGACGCAGCGCGTAGCAGGTTACTTATAGGCACACTATTGTGTCGGTAAACGAAGAATATTCGAACGACATTTGAGAAATAAACACGGTTTCCTGATTTGTTTTTCTTTTGGATCAAGTCAGTCTGATATAAATAATAATATTGGATAGCTTTTAGGGATATAATAACATATTGCACTTGCTATAACCTGGTCTTTTGAGTCGTGCAATATTGCTATAGCTTGTGCAATATATTCTTGTATCCCTCTCAAAGCCATCCAATATTATATAAATATTGTAAATCTTGATTCATTGCTTTAGGCCATTGATCTTTTTATGTACTGACCGTCTCATCAACCCTGAAAAATCTGATAACTTCGACATTCCAGCCACCCCCTTTGGAGAATCCTGGACCTGCCACTGTATACCCATGCGGTTTTGGACTGTTTTGTTTTCAGTAAGTTTCCGAGTCTGAGGTATCGGCGTTGCTCTCTCCTCTACTGCGGTTGCCGTCAGTAAACTCCAAGCTGGCGTTACGGAGCCGGCCTAGCTCGCCGCTCATGGCCAAGGCAATACGGGAGTTGGTGGCGGTGCTTGCCGGGGAGAAGGGTAACATGTGGGCCAGGATGATGGCTAAGCAGTCCGCTATCTTGTCGGTTGGGGCACAGCTGAGGGCTGGGGTGTAACCTTCGGTGAGCAAATGAAGGAACAAAATTAGCACTGAGCAAACTACTTTGCTCATCTCAACATCGATTGCGGTCCACGTCACAAGCCCAAGACACCATAAATACCACATACTGTTACGTATGTCGACAATGAACATAAGTTAAGTACTACATTTTGTCTAAAACGCTATGAATTTTCGTATTGGCTGATGACGACATGTAGTATTTTTTCCTCTTATTTTCTTTGCTCTTTGCACGCAACACAAGGATTTATTTTCCAGCCTGCAAAGGGATGGAATGCTGGATTGAAAACGCCAGAATTCCGACAATAGCCAGAAAACAGGCATCCCTGATCTAAGACTGTCGAGTACTGTTGGCTGTTACCATTGGCCCTCTCTATGGAAACGTAATGCATATGCATTTTGCTGGGCGCATAAATGAATAACCGTCCTAATTCCTATTAGTCAAGTCTTAGACCTGTCAGATGCCGGATGTAAACACGATACAGGGTGCCAGCTAATGTTGTGCTTTGTACATACTGGGGGCCTCGTTGGACAAAACACGACGGTGTCTAACGACTTGATTTCAAGTCCAGCAAATGTCTTTCCTTACAATCAGTGACAACTAGTGTACTTACCTTTGTTATCCAATGCTAATAGACTAGCTCCTTTGGAGATTAATTCTTGTACTACTGACACAAGACCGTTACTGGCAGCTATGTGCAGAGGCCTAAGGGCGACAAAACAATCAATCAATATAACGATTCATGATATGAAACTGAAAAAAACACAAGCAACCTTCTTCCAAGCTTCTCCTCTTCATGTTTCACTTCAGTCTGCGATACTCACCATTACCACATTCCATCACCTTTAGAAACCAGAGCGATTTTTTTTAAACAAAATACCGCACAATAATTCTGCATTCTGAACAATCAACAATTAGGTACATGTAGTTATGATATTACAGAGCTTGGGCATGACTATTCCCAATAAACCTTTCATCAATTTGCATACATTTGAATAAATTTGCATACATTTGCATGAATTTGCAAGGGTTAATTAGACTCACGTCAAGCCGTCATCATTGGCCAAGTTGATGATGGTACTTTCTTCCAGTTTCTCCAGTATCATCAATGCACAGCCTTCGTGTTTCTGGAAGACAGGCCACAAAAAACTAGGTTAGCCTAGAAAAAATTGTCCTAGAATGCCCCATATTCTTTTCAACTGGGTGGCAACTCTCTGATGAGTTGAATGAGTAGGCTATTCATATACATTTGTACCAAGAAGACCACAAGCAAGTGAATGCAGTTACAATCAGAGACCATGGAGAAAATTCAGGAATGTTCCAGTTGTTTTGTTTAGCCTGTGACACAAACAATAAAAGGCTTATTTTTTTTGGTAAGGTTGGTATCGAATTTTATCGAGTATTAAAAATAAAGTAACAAGTACCTGGAGACAGGCTAGGTGTAGTCCACTGTTCTTGCGACTGTCACAGGCGTTGAGGTCGGCACAAGCGCTACTCACTATCAACTCTGAAATGAAGAAGAAACAGTATGGGTTAGGCAACAGGAATCTTGAAGACACAAATCACCTCTTGGAGACAAAAAAAAGTGTCTACAGTAGTACAAAACCAAGCAGATTTTGATTGTTGGTATAACTGTATTTAATACTGGCATCCGCTACCCAGTCTCACTGCTTGAGTCACATGCTTGAGTCACATGTACACATACTGACTACCGCCGTGATCTGGTGTGACTATCGTAGCACTATAGCTGGCCAAAAGTAAGCTGCCTACTTGGCCATTGGAGCAGAACTACGCTGCATGTTAGCATGATGCAGGATGGACTGTACATTATCTTCAGAAATTGCTTTGTTGTATTATGCGCCATCTTGAGTACACACAGAAACAGTTAATTTTATTTAGTGACAATGTCATTTCCCTAGACACTAACAGAAGGAAAGCACAATCGAGAACCACCAATGTGACATTGTTACACGTCATGAATATTAACCCAAACCCTAACCCTGACAGGTGCAACACAGTGCAACAAGTGTAAACGTCTATGGGATCTTGCTGCATTGAGCCATCAACACCAGTGCATAAACAGCCAAGTCTGAGACAATTGGGGGCTAGTCTTAGTGAACAATGCTACAGTTGTATCCTGCTGCAATTGGCAACCACAGACTCTGAGGCTGTCGGCATTAGGATATTTGCCCTGGTAGATCTTATTACTTTGGGCAGGCTTCTTATTTTGACAAGTGTTGCATTTTGTTGTGCTGAGCAGAGTTTCTACCCCAAGTGGGCGGTTAGAGTTAGTGTTGCTCTTGTCTCAACAGGTGCTTACCTTTGAGGAAGGCACTGGTTGAGAACTACCAACATTAGTAGAAATCACATTTGAATATTCCTGAGATGTGACAATGTCCTATTGGTCGCTCTCAATAAGGGTGTACCCTATGACATCACTTAGTGTGATCTTTTCCATGAAGTAAACATTTCAAATAGGTGAATTCTACTGTTCCTGTGAACGAATGGACAGGTTTAGAACATTTCTGGGACTTTCAATGCAGCTCTTGACATTACAGATTAACACTGAACATTAAAAAATATCTGACTCATCATAGATAGATTGCAAAATAAGAATCTACACTAATCAGTACATAAACAAAACAACACTAAAAAAAGAAAACCAATAAAATTTGTTACTAAACAACAGTGGAGTGTAAACCACAATGTAAAAAAAAAAAAAAAAAAAAAAAAAAAAAATTGAAGATTTATCACAACTCGTACAACACCTCACGTAGTTCAAATCAGAACAATCACAATAATCAAAACACTGAAATAATGAAAAACAAATCTATGAAATATAATTCAAAAATAGCACAATTTGCAAAAACTTTGAGAGAAATACATGTCATCTGGTCCTGCATGGTCGGCAAAACCCAAAGCTGCGTTTCCATCTCCAAAACAAAATTACTACTCTTCAGTATACTTTTGTTAAGTTATTGTCTTTTTAAAAGGTTGATTGGAGCTCCTTTTTTAATTACCTAATGTAAGTAATTTTGCAAATATGTTTATAAACTACTGGAACATTGTACCATTTTTTATGATTGCGCCCTAATTTTGTTGAAAGTCTTTATAAGAGAACACGTTACACACGGCACTGAAAGACTAAACTACAAAGCAACATGGGTATCCATCTACCACACACTCACAGTACATCATACAAAAGCAACAATGAATAGCCAACCAAACTTAAAACAATTTTTGTTTTCAAAAAGTTTAATAAAGCAAAACTTAAAAAATACAAAAATCCATCTAAAAACAATTTGTATTAGTTTGCAATGAACAGATTAAGTGAAAAAAGATGAAATAATGTATGAGTTAAATAGTAATTACCAATATTATTCTAATATGACAATAGCTTCACTATGTTTGAGTTTACCTTACACATACCTGGTGCTCAGTCAGTATGTCAGCAATTTGTTAAAATCAGACTGTTTATCATCTATCTTAAGGCTGGGATTTACTAAAGCCTGTCGCACACCTTTCTGATTTTACAAGTTCACCGGTTCATTTTTTTCACTGTCGTGGAGATCGCGATGTTACCTGCATACACGCCCAATTCCATTCTATAATCAGTCACATGATGACCAGTCACATGATGATCAGTCACATGATGACCGGTCACATGATGACAAAATGGCAGCCGTCCATTTTGAATCATGTGACTTCCTTCATGAATCTGATTGGTTAACATAAATATCGTGTCCGGTGAAGTCGGAGTGTTGCCTGCACACCTTTTTCAGTGACATTGGATCCGGTGAAATCTGATGCGAGAAAAATCAAACATGTTTGATTTCATCCAGTCGCCCAGGGTACAGTCAGATCGGTCCGATTTTTCAGTTCACCTCTCTCTGATCTGTGCGTTCGATGGCCCGATGAGCCGGTAATATCGGAAAGGTGTGCGGCAGGCTCAACTTTTTTGGCTGCAGTCAAAATGCAGCTTTCTGATGGTGATAGCTTTTACAGAACAGAATTGTCGTGGGTCGCATTCTCGCAATGGACAATGCATTTTTTGCTGGTATGACACCAGCCTGCATTGAGGCGCAGCATGTGATGCATACCGGTACATTCATACTAAAAACACCTACACAAAAGCAATGGATTATGCACACTGGACTACAGAATTCTGAATGTAGATACATGGAAGTACAGTGTATGCACTATTGATCTATTTTTAAGCACTACACATGTCTTATTGACATGAATTTTGAGCCTAAGTATGCAGACGGCGCCAAATGCGTGAAATGGTCTACTGTCTACACCTGTACTGGCTTTTGCCAATTGAAACGAAACGAACTCAATTAATGAGCAAGTCCAATAATAAGTCTCATTCCAAAAGCAATCTATGGGCAAACTTAACCTTGGGTGTGTTGAAACACAAAAGCACTGCCCAACACAGTCACAACAATCATCTAAATCATGACTCCGGTCACAAAGTTAGTAGAATGAACAGTTAGAAAGGGGAGAAAAAAAAACAGCCGCAAACAAAAATGTACAAATTTGCACCAAAACAAGAGACAGTTTGTCTGTGGTCTTACCGGTGGGACCATCTATTTGGTCTGATGGGGAGCAGAAGAGCTCTGAGCAGAGGAACAAGGACAGAGGGAGGTAGACATGGAAACAAGATTAGTCACAGGGGTAGCTTGTGGGTCATAGGGAAAGCAAGGAAGGGTTGAAGGAGGGGGGAACAGTCTTAGTTATCTACGTGCTGATTTTTCCAGAAGGCAAATTTTGGTAAAAAATATGCATTTGCAAAGTTGTATGTGTAGTGATGTTCAGAAAGGCCCACTTTTGTGCCATGTGCTGGGTTCCTCAACTATTAGGCCTATAGTACAGCACACTGGAGATAAGATTGTTCATTTGATGATAACAGCATGAAATTTGGCACAAAGTCAGAGTTTGTTATGGGAAAGATATTTGGCCATAGGGCCATCGCAGATTTGTCCTTTGAAAAAAAAAATTCCATAGAATAGCAAGCAATTTTCCAAATTTTTAAAATGGCGGCCATTGCATGTTATTCAGCGTTCCGATTTCATTCAAATTTAACTCGCATATGGCTTATTGGATTGATGGTAGATAAGTTAAGGAATTGGTAGAGCTTCTAGGATTCCAATGGCATGTGGTAGGCAGGATTGGCTGAGAAGCAGTCAATGTATTGTGCGGGATCAAAGATTAGGGATCACGTGGAATGGGTCTGGATGTAAACAGGGTTAAACAACCAACAGGAGAAAATGCAGGAAGCAAGGAATGTGCAGGCGACAAATCAAACACTTGTTCTGGGTTCATTTATATAATGAGAAATTCAATACTTGCACTTGACTATATATACTTTTTGCTTCCTGAATGCTTGGTTTTATATGCACAGCATGTACAAAACACCAATAGTAAGTTACAATGCAAATTTTCTATCTGATCTACATTGTCCTATACACGCACATGTATTCACACACAACCCTGTACAAAAGACATTTTCTGCTATAAAAACAGCGATGACTGATGAAATTTTTTCTTCAATCCGAAAAAGCTCAGCATTCATGAGCCACTCCACAGCATAAATTCTAGGCCACTGTCATTGTGAAATAAATTCTAAGACGATCTGCAACCGCGAAACATGGGGCACACTGAATTTGCGCTATCATGCTGGAGGTTTGGGGTTGGGGTTAGAGGTCACGGGGTCATCTTGGGGTCAATCTCACACAGCTACTCAGGGAAATCTTTACTAAATCATTTCATTTGTTAACTCAAACACTTCTACAACCAACTATAAAGAACCGATTGAATTTGAATTGTAGTACACACATGCAAGACAATGTTAGAGCTTTTTTGAATATATCAGCATGTCATTCATTTTTCGTATCAGGAGTTCCTCAATTTTCCAAGGACAACATTGGAAATTATAGTTTGTGCAACCTGTATTTTTTCTATTATCAAAAACCAATTCTTATAGAAAATAAAACAAAAACAAACTGCAGTTAACTCCCTTGAATAAGGCAAGTTTCCCACGTTGACCTGCACATAAGGTGACGATGTGTCAAAATAATTAAAAATACAGGATAAAAGGGTTCCACAAAAACTTTTTGTACCGTAGGTATACAGCCATTCTTACATGGCGAAAGAGGAGTTATGGTAAAGCAAAGCTGTATTTTTCTGAAATAACGAGGGCGTGTTTCACTCATAAAATCCTGCCAGGTGCAACACACTGGAACAGGTGTAAAGTCTGTGGGATCGAGTTGCACTGGCCAATCAACACCAGTGCATAAACAGCCAATTCTGAGGCAATGAGAGCTAGTCCCATTGAACAATGCCACAGTTGTATCATGTTGCAGTTGGCAACTAAGGACTCTAAGGCAGTTTGAACAAGTACTGCATCTAACCAACATGCCCTGGAAGTATAGGTGTAAGATTTGTCAAGGTTCAGTTAAAGGGACTTACCGATGGTACCTGCTGATCCACTCTCTGCTGCCACCATGAGGCAGGTTTTGCCCAGCTGGTCAGCTATGTTGGGCTGGCCGCCATGTTTCATCATGAGCTGAAGGCATTCTACCTGGTCATTCAGGGCGCTGGCGTGGAGAGGTGTCCTAAAAGGAAAAAAGGCAGAACAGTCCAAAACGTTTGAATGTCAATGGTTTACTCGGTGTAGCACGCAGCCAAGTTCACTAAAGTACATGAGTGATTTGAATGATTCTTGTACTAAAAGATAGCTCATGAATTGGGCTTTCATATCCTAGATTTTGAAAGTGCTACATGCAGAACTTCACTAAAACAATGGTCCCGACATTTGGGTTTCGTTTTTTTGACCCTGTATTCCAAAGACTATTAAAACAACCATTAATCTAACCTTCCTTTCCGGTCTTGAATATTTACGATCTCGTCTCCTAGTGACTCAATCAGCAGCTCTGCACAGGACTCGTTATCATTTAAACTGAAAAATAGGGAAACAAATTCATGAATATCCATATCAAAGTGCAAAACACCAATAAAAGATAAGCAAAAAAATCCCTACAAGTTATCCAGATAACTCAGTGTTGCAAAATAAACGTTATAAGAGTTTTTGTTTTTGTGGAATCAGCAGGCACTCATCTCCATGCAAAAAAGTATGACATAAAATAAACACAGTTGCTTCACAAGTGATTTACAATTGTTTTTTTGTTGATCTTGATCTTTTTTTAATAAATTCCTTGTTAACCAAACTAAAACTGTTTCAAAACAACATACATCTGAAATATCATGTACTTACACCGCACAATGCAATGGAGTGAAGGAGTTCCCCTTGAAGAACATTTTAGGATCTTGCTCCAGGAGTAACTCTACACAATTCTCATGCCCTGCAAAATCAACATCAAGCAGAAATATATCTATTTAGCGGGGTTCGAACCTGCGACCTCCGGATTACCGTTCCGGTGCTCTACCAACTGAGCTATCCAGCCCTATGTTGGCAGTTCCCCATTTTGTCAATATCTTTGTTCAAGGGGTGCTAGTCAGAAGCCATAAATCTGTATATGTCATGCAGCCAGGGATCGGGCCCAAAATCAGACCTGGTAAATAGCGAATGGGTATCACTCGGAGAGGATACAATTCTCATCTCGTACGGACAATTTTCCTTCGCAACAAATTAAAGATTAATCACAACTGACCATTGTAGCAAGCCCAGTGTATGGGCGTGTAGCCATTGCCGTCCAAGTGATTGGTGCATCCCGCCTGCAACAGCGCCCCCAGAATACCAACGTGACCGCACGCAGCTGCCATGTGCAGCGGTGTACGACCTTTGATATCGGCACAGGACGTGTTGGCTTGGCTCTGCAGCAGCGCATCGACACATTCCTCGTGTCCGTTAGCTGCCTATGGGTTCAGAAAACATAAAGCAATGGTGTTCAGACATTTGTTGGCTGTGGAGTGACATGGTCCTATGGCTATGGTGTCTGACTCTTCAGCGAAGATACGGGAGTTGGAACCCTGATGAGGACAAGGTGCTTGTGTTCTTGGGCAAGACATTTTACTTAAGATTTGAAATAAAATAAACCATACGGTAATCTTCTAACAACTTCAACAACCATATACAAAGAAACAAAATTTACAGTAACTTGCATATGATGGTAACATGGCCCAAATTCTTCAGCTTAAAGGCATATTTAAACAGTATTTCTACGATATTTCTTGCCGAAACCTCATATGTTGTAATATTCCGGGGTGTGTACTCGAGCGTAAATTGTACAACAATAGTTCGTGAACAACGGCTAATTCAAGATCAACACACGGTCCGCCTCCACAGACTTCACAGACTTTATGTGTGTGTACAAAAGGCACGAGGGATTAGCGAGTTTTAACGTCACCTGGAGGCGTATCGAGGCAATCTAGACGTCTTAGCCCGTCAGCCGTGCCTGTGTACAAAAACAGCCAGTGCATATTATCACGTCCTCCGACGCGAACTGGTTAATGAGAAATTAGTCTTGTAAGAGAGAAAACCCTAAGGTTTCATACTCACTCCACGATGCAGTGCAGTCCTATGATGAATATCTCTGGCACTCAGACTAGCCCCATGCTGTAAAAGCAACAGTGTAGCGTCGGTATGACCGTTGCTCACGGCAACCATCAGTGGAGTCCGTGATTGGTTGTCCAGGCAGTCTACTGCCCCCTCTTGGTCTGCGTTTTCTAGCAGGATTCTCAGGCACTCAGCATGGCCATTGTATGCTGTGGAATGCAAACAGAAAGAGTTCTGTTATTATTTGCACAAGGTTTACACAGTCCACGGCGGATGACATGTATACATGCAAAGGTTTTGCAAGCAACTTCACCCCCACTTGCCTCTCTCCATCCAGGAGTATAAATGGGTACCAGCATTAGCTGGGGAGTAACCTGCGATGGACTGGCATCCCATCCAGGGGGAGTAGAAATATTCTCAGTCATTTAATGCCAAGGAAACCAGAGATAAACGCAGGCCTTATGGGCCATATTGGCTCACAACAGATTTTAATTTTTACAGAACACTTGTGTATTTTAACTGTTCTGTTTACCTGCGGCATGCAATGGCGTTCGCTTGGACACCGAGTCATTGACCAGTATTGTAGCTCCTTGCATCACCAGTGCCTCCACGCAGTCTAGATGGCCCTTGAACGCTGCCAGGTCCAGCGCTGTCCGGCCGTTGGCGTCTTGAATGTCCAGGTTGACGATGGATCGCATCAGGACGTGGAGAACGTCCACATGACCATTGTAGGCCTGCAAGAATGCACAACACGATGTACATTGTACTTTCACGTCACCATGCAATTTTTAAAACTTTTTTTTTTAAACCAGCAAAATTTCTGTTCATTCGATAAGATTCAGATGACACCTGTGATAATATTTATTTTAACGACTTCTCAAAATCGACTAAAGCTCAAGAAAGGATACGCCTTTTCCAAGGAATGGATATTCTCATTTTGATCTTGGAAAATTTTGGGCTGTTCTCATTTTGTCAGATGATGTATCGTCTATGGACTTTGTGCACACGATACGTCACTTCATGGTGCGACCGACAATTTGATCACAACAAATTGATGATACAGTGCAAAGTTGCCACGTACCGCTAGATGAAGAGGTGTGGTGAGCGGAGCAGAGCCACCGGTGTTGAGTAGATCACTAGCTGCTACTGCCTGCAACTACAGAAGAGGAAAAGTTGCATGCCTGATATTAGATCACGCCCCATCTGTTTTCATTTTATGTACTCTCAAGGTACTGGTACGGCCCGGGCGCACCAGGCCGCTGTGGGCTGTACCACTTGGTACTTGTTAGCTTTGTTTGTATGTGACCCGGCAAAATTTCATGGACCTATAGAACAGACAACAATACTCAAAATCATGCGTAGCAAAATTTAGCTGGGAACCAGTGATATGCTATATACCAAATGACATTTTGGCTGGTAATCTGTTGTTGCTGAGCTTAACTTGTTCATTCTGACGACATTTTTGTGCAAAATGGCAAAGCAGAAGTCTGAGCATTACCTTCTCAGCAGCTAGGCTATGTCCATTGGCTGCAGCATAGTGCAGCGTGTTGTATCCGTTGACGTCCCGCAGACGAGGATTAGCGTTGTTATGCAGAAGATGCTCCACACAACTAAAAACAAAAATCAAGAAACATCAAATGATGAAACTGGCAATTCAACGCAAAATAGACTCAGATAAGACTCCAATGCAATCGTAACATTTGACAAGCATTACTCACTCTGCCTCCATATCTGCAGCTGCGGCATAATGCAACGGTGAGCAGTCTCTGGTGTCTAACCCATTCACGTTGGCTTTCATGGCCACCAAGGACAGCGTGCACTGATGATTGGCGTTGCCCGACGCGTAGTGTAACGGCGTCCGACCGTCCTTATCCGCTAGGCTGAAATCGGCACCACTTCGAATCAGCAGGTCTAAACAATCTACATTGCTGTGGAAGGAAGAAGGTACTCGAATAATCAAACCAAACAAAACAACATTCAAATATTTATGGTCAGTCATGGAACATCAAACTAACTCGCAAACGGCGATAGGTCAGTTGGTGTGCAGGTGTAAGTAACGTCATGAATCAACCTCTAGTGGAATAATGATCCTCACCTGAACTTGCTCAAGATTAAACTTTCAAGACTACAATGATTTGTTGAAAAGGAAGTGCAAACTATGCAACAACCCATTTTGGGAAAATGCCACAATTCTGTTCCTGCATAACTCCAAAGATACTTCAATTCGCTCTTTTCACACTCCGCCATTGGGCATGCACAATAAAAAATAAACTATACACAATAAAAATAGCCGGTTCAGTGATCTGAACCCCGACACGGGAATCACTGAACCAGCTATATTCATTGTGTAAAGTTGCCAGATCGAGGCTCTGCATGCCCATGGCGGAAGTGTGAAAAGAGCGAAAATGCAGCTTACTCTGTTTGACAAAATGTTTGAATATGAGCGGACAACTACATGCAAAGCAACTGACTTCTTACCCTGAGCATGCTGCACAGTGGACACAGGTACGATGGTTGTCATCCAAGGCGTTAATGTCACACTCTGCTGCAGGTTACAACGGACAAAAAAATATCTTAAAACAAGTACAAGGACCTGGAGGAATCTCAACAATCTCAAGAAAACACAAACTATTGTTCAAACTTAAATATGGAATACACACCTAAGTACCCCTTCTATGGTAAAAATGGCAGAGAGCGATATTGAAGAACATCAAGGGTTAACACTCCAATACAAACATAAATTCTGTGCTAAGTTGTCCTTTTCAGTCAAAATCGTGATATTTCAGTAAAAATGAAACCATGACGTATATATCCTGAAAATGATATCAGAATAATCCCATAAGTCTCCGGGGTGTTCCTGGGCTGTTCCAACTGGGAACGCATGTTCCCAGTTGGAACAGGCGATATTCCCCGATGGATGGTTCCAAGTTCTTGGACTTTTGAGACGTTGCCTTACTGCCAACGAGCATGACTAGGTTCCTGTGAGACCAGTACCTGCTTCCAGTAGCTTCTTGCAGCACATGGTGTAGCCACTCAGAGCTGCAAGATGTAGAGGAAGCATTCCGTGGATGCCACGCCTACACCAGACAAACAAGACAAGCATCAACTAAAAAGCATGTAGGAACATTAGTACAAGTAATTACATGGAAACAAACCTACTGATTTAATGAGAAAAAAATTTGTTGAGAGTGAAGATCAGGCTGGTAGATCACCCTGAGAAAATGTTCTGCCTGAAATGGTCTCGTTTGGTAGAACACTGAAAGCGGTTTTAAAAAGCATGTCTGCTCGTCAAATAACGCGAGGAGTGCTGATTTCGCACTTGTACCTAAGAGTGTACAATTTAAAATATGAAACAGCATCTTTTGGATAGGAAGCACCAGCAGCTAAATCTACCTATAAGACCAAAGAACAGTGCCATTTTTTTTCCAGTTTTCTCAAGATGTACAAGTATCCACTTAGTTGAAACTTCAACAGGTTAGTTGTTATGCACTGAAAATTGTAAGCAATTTTGCCCACTTTCTGGACGCCATCTTTTTGGTTTTTGGATTTAATTTCACGACAACTTAATTTTGTTCCCAAGGGTCAGCAGCAAGCATTTCAAGCTTGTTTCCAAGGGTTCATCAGCAAGCATTGCACGCTTGTCAACAAGGAAGTTTTGCAACACTGCATGAGGAAAGTTCGGGAGGGGGGGGGGGGCATGCTGAAGTGTGCCATATTAGGGGACTCGACTATATTTGTTTACCTGGTAGGGTTAGCTCCATGCATGAGCAGGGTCACTAGGAGTTCCTGGTGGCCATTCTGTGCAGCAAGGTGCAGCGGCGTGTTTCCGTTCTTATCGGCACAATCCACCGACGCACCTGAATGTGTGATAAAGAAGTCTTCACTATAATCTAATAATTGGAAGCAAATTGATGAGCCTAGCAAACACTAGCTGGGAACCAGTCACAGGCCATATACATTGCAAGACTCTCTGGCTGGTAACCGGTTTCTGCTGAGCATATACCTTTTGTGCTTAGCAGACTGCTGTGGTTAGCAGCCCAATGAAGTTGGAGGCACAGGTAGCACTGAAAACCAAATCACCATGTGGGCCATGGAGACATCATCCCCAGTGTAAAATTAGGAAAGAACACCAATTTCACGTCTCTGCTTACCGTTAGCGAACAATTCTTGCTTACTACAGCACAAAATTCTGTACTTAGGGTAAGTACATGTGCACATCATGTAACAAAGAATTCTGTGCTTTCTGCTAACCACAGAATTCGGCACTTACCATCACCATTTTGTACTTACTGCACTACCATGAAAATTCTGTGCTAACTCTGCAAGCACAGAATCCTTAGTTATATTTTTTTTATTGAGTCAAATTCACATTAACGTAAAATCAAACAGTAAAAGTAACAGTTTCAGAAGAAACTTACATGTACACATGTACGACTCCAACAACGCATGTTTTTCAATTAACATACAACTGTTAACTAAAATATCTTTGATACATGGACATTGTACACAGTGTTTTGAGAAAAATGTTGGCAACCATAATCAAACCATAGTTCAAATATTAATTGAAAATGTAGCAAAACAAAGGGTAAAACAACAATGAAAACTAATTCTTAATAAAGTAATACTTTCTGTGTTTAGCATTATTGTGTTCTAAGGGACTCCTTATGCTGCAGCCAAATGTCTCAACTGCTGCTTACTATGAAAAAGTTGAGCTAACTGCTTAATACTGTAAAATGGATGAAGGTTTTGCTAGCAGAAAATCGTGTGCTTGGCAGTGCCATGAAATTGGGCTCCGGTTAGTAACTGTTGCCAATGAACAATAAGAAAATTTGCATGTCTGCAAAGATGGTGGGGTGGACTGACGTCCAAACAAGTAAAACTGAAACGTGAAATGAACAATAAATGATAACAACAGTGAAGAACAAAGGGGAAAAAAGGAGAGTTAAGATAAAAGACACAGGAATATGAACTGAGATAAGAAACCGAGATAAGAAACTGAACAAAAAAAGTGACTACTGACAAATATTTACTCAAGTTTGCAGTCAATTTTCTAAAAGCCCTACCAGATATTTTCTGTCCGTGATGAATGCCAGCCAGCTAGTCTGGTTCCCTGACCTGGCAATTCCCTAATGCTATAAATTCCTCCGTTCTGCTTGAAGTAGGGTCAGGGAACCAGACAACAAGAACAACTTTTTCTTGGTTTTTGCAGCAACACAAAACTTTAAACAGGTCAGTGTGACAATATTTGCTATAAAATACCAACCCCAAATCCATCCATTTCTAAAAATTACAGCAAAAGCAAGTGTTGTATAATTACCTCTATTCTAAATATAACAAGTTTAACTCAACACATATGCCTATGGCAGGTTTAGGCAGGGTAAGAGTATAGACTCCGTGCATGAGAAAAAGAGGGCTCTTACACCCAAAACCGAAATGCACAATCAGTACATGAGCATTTCATTTTGCTCTGCTCAAACAATGCAAATGCATGCGTTCTACTTGTGCCTTGCATTTAGAGTACATTATTCGAACTTCATTCCATCTAATTTCACTATGTTCTACAAACACGCACATGAAATCAAAATGTCTGCGCACAGGACGGCTTCAAAATGTCTCCGCGGGGGAATGAGGAGTTAGCGCTCTAGTAATTCAATATAGCTCTATGGCTGTACTATATGCCTACAGCCTCTGTATAATCGGCCATATTGAGAAGACTGGGGGTGAACTGACAAAAAAGCCACACAACTTAGTGTTTGGAGTATATGGGGCATGTGGTATCCAGTCAGTATACAGAGATCAACGCCATAACCCAGCATCATGTGAGTGCCAGGCATACAGCAGTAATGCGTTCAATGGTGCCGCCCGGGGGTCTCCCCTAACTCTCTCTTTCTAACCGTTGAGGGCGTACTTGTGCACGGAGCCCATAAGGGTTAATGTAGGAGAAGGCTGCAGCTTGCTAGCAACAGACGAAGAGAGAATTGAAATGGACTCACCATGCTCTATTAAAACTTCTGTTACTACGGTAACGGGTGCCAAACAGGAAGAAAAAAGACAAAGACACCAGATGAACACAGTGGTAGATTGAATGGACACATGTCACACAAACGTGCTATGAACTGTACATGAGTTAAGCAAATGGGGCCCAATCCCACAAAATGAGTCTTAAGGACAAACTTTCTCTTGTTGAGTTTTTGTACATGAAGTTACAAGCGCTTAATGTTCTCTTCAGATAAACATGTCACTCAGTTTGACTTCTAAATATCAAAAGATGTTACGTGGCTGAAAAAGATGATTGTTTTGCATTGATTTCCGCTGTGTAAGATTCTGTTAAAAGGCCCATTACTCAATAATAGCTCTGGCGACTTGTGCCTCATTTTGTTGGGTTGGGTCACACATATAAGAGTCAGTTTTCTGTTGAACTAAGAAAAGAATTGACTGACTGGAGTGGAATTTGAACAATCCGCCACTGACAAACTATTATGCTGCCATGTAAGCTATCTTGCCCTACGCTGGCAGTTTAAATTTCTGCAATTTCTCTAGTTTGGCCTGGACTTTATCACCTGGGCCAATATGTGGATTGGGTTTTCAGTCCCTGCCTGATTCCGTTGTTTTTTTCTAGAATATCATTCTGTAGATTTCCTCCCACCACTAAAACTGTAATTTCCTTCCACATCTTCTACCAAGGGACCCCACTGAAAATAAGGCAAAAGACTTCCGTGGGCTCAAAAAAAAAAAAAAAAAAAAGACCTCAGGAAAAAACTTCTAGTACTTGAAAGCTCAGTTGGTAGGGCACGGTTGCAGTATTCTAGAGGATGCTGGTTCCAATCCCACTTCAGTCAGTTTTCTTAATTCAACGGGAAAATGATTAAAGTGAACCAACACAAATATGTACTTTGTAAACATATAGGCCTATGTACTGTGTATATATGTAGCAGCCAGAGCAAAATTTTCAGAGGCGGTCCTGCGGATTGAAGCATGTATTTAAACTATTGCGTGACAGATTATCGTTCTGTAGAGCAGAAAGTACATGTACTGGTGCAGTCCACAAGAGATATAGGTTTCATGCAAGCCAGCATCAAGCGAAACAAACTTTACGTGTGATTTGCCAAGGGAATAAACATTTGCTTGGCCGGTTTTAAACAAGTACATTTAAATATACTTGATTTTAGACTGCATGGTGGAGTATCGGTATCGTTTCGGTTTGCGGTAACACCATGTGGTAATAACTATTGCTTAGAAGATATTTAGTTCTGAAAAGAACTTGTCCTGCTTATTATCAACTTTTACAGAACAAAACTACATAGCGAAAGTTGATAATAAGCAGGACAAGTTCTTTTCAGAACTAAACATCTTCTAAGCAGTAGTTATTAACATATGGCGTTACCGCAAACTGAAACGATAAGTACATTTAAAACTGGCCTCTAGCCCGTTTTAAATGTACTTATTTAATACCACCCAAGCACATATTTATTCCCATTCATCAATACCTTTTGGTCAAAAACTCAAGACAAGTTTAAAAAATTTCACAATTTTCCAAAAATTTTGTTCAACAATTTTACCTCATATTTTGTGAAACACCCCTCTTGCCTTGTCTGTAGTATGTGCCTTGTGCGCGTAGTGCTAAAAGCTCCTTTTATGGAAATTGGCGCGCGTGGAGCAGAACTCAGTGGTGCAGGCATAAAGTGTCCAAAACCAGTTGGTGTTTTATCAACTGTTTAAAACCACCCACTTGACGAGATCTCGACCAATAGGAATGGGTAAACTGTCTTAGGTATTTATGAATTCTAATTAATATGGTGTATTATAGTCAAATGACTCCAAGGAAAGAAAAAATCGGGTGCCAAATCTAATGCACTTTGGGCATTATACACATTGCCACAAAACATCTACAGCTTTGAAAGCTCCATATATTAAAAGTCTGTTCTCTTCCAAAACAAAAAAAACAAAAACAAAAACCAGCCCAACATCCTACCCACTGCCTGCACGTTTTGACTTGATTGCATGATCTAGTATCTTGGAACTTGATGGGAAATGGGCCAACGCAATATATCCTTAAAAAATGCAGACTGCCATCTTTAAAAAAAAAGTGCTTCGATTTGCAGCATCGTTTTCGTAACACCACAGACCAAAGGCCAACTCAAATTTGCTGGAGACTGCTTGAAGTGCTCTCTTAAAATGCAAAAAAACCTATTCTATTATTTGCAGCATATTTTCACATGTACAGTCGAACACCTTTATAACAACGTCCTTGGGACTTTGCAAATTACCTTGTTATAACAGGTACCTTGTATTAACAGTAATGGAAAACAAAGAACAACAAAGACTTGGGACGTAAAGTTTGCTTGTTATAAGCAGCCCAATTTCACGGTGCTGCTAAGCAGGTTTTTAAAAGCAGGTTATCAGCCAAAACTCCACATGATTTTCATGCTAAGCAAACAACAGCTGAATACTAATCACGAGCAGTATACATCACGTGGAGTTTTGGCTGGTAACCTGCTTTTATAAGCCAGACTTTTTTTGTGCTAAGCAAATTTTTGTGCTTAGCAGCGCCGTGAAATCGGCCCCTGGATGTATTAACAGTGCTCTTCTTATCGGGGTTGGACTGTACATGTATGTACCTGCTGGTGCTGAGCATGCTTTGCAAACACACACACACGAGTGTCAATCTACATAGCCACAACATGTTTGTTTCTGTCGGGAGTCAATAGTCTCGTGACTGGAAAGCATAGTGTATTTTGTGCTTGCAACAAAATTATAAGCAACTTTTTTTTTCTCAAAGTAACTGCCTTAATAAGCCACATCTACAGCTAAAGTGGGTAAATATTACCGTGGTTAGAAGTCTTAGTTGGTTTAGGTTGTTGGGAGACTAGAAACGACGTAAGGAAATGAAAGAGGGTAGGTACATTAAAAGACAACATATTTAAACCATGAACTAACGGACTAAAAAGTAAAGTGTCATACAAAAACTCCGGTATGCGATCACATTCACTGATGGGACACTGCAGTCTGGGCTCAAGACAATGTGGTTTTTTTTTATATTTTTGTGTTTTTATAAAGTGCATATATCCTCCAGTATTGGTGCTCAAGGCGCTATATCATTATTACCCCTGATCACTGGGCCAATGAAACATCTCAGCTCCATGCCATTTTGGTGCAAAGCAGCTAAATCAACCACAATAACCATCTCTTCCCTCACAGGTACCCATTTACTCCTGGGTGGAGAAAAGCAATGAGTGACAAAGTGCCTTGCCTCAGGTCCATCTTGGGGGTAATTACCAATGTTACTACGTGCCTTTTACTCACGATCTGTGTGTGCATCTTGGTTTTTTTTGCAATTTTTAATTGAACATACAAATTGCAATGTAAAAACTGCAGTGTCCCACTCAAGGATGTGATTGGTTTGAAAAAGATGTGCAAACATAAGCATTGCATTTTTTTTAGCAAAGTTGAAAAATATGCCAAACATATAATACTACTCTAAGACACAGACGAACAGCAAATGACTTAATTCTTAATTGGCATTCAAAAAGTTAATGTCTTCTTCTCGGACAGGTGTACTTGTGCAATACCGAGGCATGCCAAGTCTTGGAGGGTGTACTTTACAAAAACCGAGATACTTCACAGTTCCTTGTGGTGCCCCAAGCACACAGAGTAACAACAGAGAAAACAGACCCCACAAGTCAGTTGTTAGATGTCTATGAAAACACTATGGAGTTGAAATTTCAATAGAAACAAAGGAGAACAAAGAAGGGAAACAAAGGTATTTGCTACAAGTATATTTGTGAACAGGCGGTTCATAGTCAGTGTGAAAGCGAACGCAAATTTGTGATGCCACGACATCGCTGCGAATTTGCTGAAGTTGAACACGTTGCAACTCCAGCGAATTTCGCAGCAAACACTTCCTGACGTCCAATTTGCTTGAGATCCATATTCAAGTGAAGTATTAACCAGCATTAAGGATATATGCACATGCGTGAGGTATGCTCCAAATTTCCTGGGTAGCACTGCCAAAGTTACCAAGGCTGGATTTGCTTAATCTTGTCGATAGCAACCTCTACCGCCGTCACAGCTTATGACCAGGCTTGTTGGGAACTGGCTGTATTAGGGGCATGAAACTGAAATGCAGTCTTGGACTAAGACTAGCTATTCATTTGGATGCCATTAGCGGGGTACCAGTGCCACTTACTGTGTTCAATCAAGCTCTCTGCCCGTGTGTATCGCCCCTGCAGCGCTATCATGTGCAGGGGCATGCAGCCTTCCTTGCAGCGGATGTTGACGTCCGCCCCCTCGCTCAGTAGGATCTCCAGACACGTGCCTCCATGGGGCGACACAGCAGCCAGATGGAGAGGAGACTAGAATGAGGTCAAATGAAGTCACAGTGTATAGCTGAATGACAGTATTGAGAGGGTTTAGACTCTTCTGCAGTCTGTGTATTCTTTTAGAGTTAACGTATTGTGGAAACAGTGTATAGGGGAAAAGGCATCCATGTTCTGTGAGAGATAGTTTAACCTTTTTATTTGATACACAGTATCATAGCCTATTAGTTTTCAATTTGTTAGCAAAACAAAATTGGGCACATTTAAATATCATTTCTAGATCACGTTTTTGTAATTTTCTTTGAATTCCCCCCATTCCCTTCTTTCAATTTGCCCCTAAATACATTGGTACAAGATCTAAAGAAGAAGTCGGCACAAGTCCTCCAGTCTGAAGTCAAGTCACACGCTGTTTAAATGCACTTTAACAAAGCCTTTGTAGTTAGCCATCTACCTCTGCTTGTTGTGAAAGGACTTTGGATTTATTTTGTGAGCAGGCTTATAAATGATGGATTTGTTCTTCAACACTGGTCCTATGAAGTAATCCGGTGAACAAAATTAGAAGCCATCTTTGAGGTGGTGCCATGCTTGCGAGCATGCTGCAGGCGTTCTTAAAGACGACGCACGCGTGTTTTTTGGTAACACCCAGAGTGCGTGCATGCTACCCGAGCGCGACTGGCACACGCTTGGTGCCACCTCAGAGAATAGCAGTCTAGTACCTGTCCCTTGTGGTTGAGCACGTTGATGTCGGCACCATGCTGGATCAGCTCCCTCAGCACCAGATCATTGCCATTCAGGCAGGCAATATGGATGGGTGTGTTGCCATTCGCATTCACCACGTCCGCCTGAAAGAGTCAAGGAACCAGACCATTCCACTCAGAATACAGGCCTGAGACATGTGGACTTTCTTTATGCAAACATTGCCAACGTTTGTGATCTTTTTGTTAAATAAGTGAGAAATGGTTGGCAACATTTGCATTGTTTGTGTAAAATGGAACACATTCCTGATGAGGAAGACTGAAAAGGCCTACAGACTAATCCACTGAATACATAACTCGGGCATAACTGACGATGATCTTGAAATGAACACGTTACTTTATTACACAAAACATACAATAATGCATACAGTATCTCTTTGTGGTCAATGGATTAGTCTATAGATGAGTCTTGAGAATGTGTCATGTGCGTAAGTGAAATGGTTCACCCCAACGATAGGTACCCATGATCTGGCCTTTCAGTGACCTCTTCACAGAGGTACATGTAGGGGGTGCGGGAGTGAAAATCTGAAGGCCTGATATCCTGGGGTATGAAATTAACCACTTAACCCTTACTTATTTTGAATGCACTTATTAATTAGAATATGAAAATGTCAAAATAAATTCAACAGCCATCCTTGATGCTGAGACTGTGATTACAATGACAATGAGCTTTCCTTTAATCCCTTAACCCTCACCCCAGGCCTTTTTTGCAAAGGAACCATCCTCAATCCTCCAAATTTTGCACTTACAAATTGTAAGGATACCCACTGCCCTAATCCTTCAAAATCCTTCAACAGCCCTGCCTCTCAAAATGCATTCAGCCTGAATCCTCCAAAATCAACCGACACTGAATGTCCATGGGCCCTCGATCCTCCACTATCCTCCAAATTTGTATGTTGCATTCAGCCTCAATCCTCCAAAATACTCCAAAACCACCCGGAGGACTTTGGAGGCTTGAGGAATGTTGGAGTTAATGACTTTTGATTTTCTGAAATTGTGATGATTAAAATGACAAGAAAAATTGAGTGCTCCCATTTTTTGTGATGCATATCTTGTGTTTTCCTTAATACTTACACTCTGTTTTTTGTTGCTCATTGGAGATCGTGTCATTGTCTACAGAGTTAAATAAAAATTGCAACACATCTGTTGACTTCAATCTGATCATTAGGAACTTTTTCAAATCAAGGTAACATGGTCAGGTGTTGACTACAATGTTAGGCCAAAAAAAAAAAAAGTCGGCCTCTGGTCAGCGCGCGCCTCGATTTTAATCATGCGCGTCGATCTTTTTTTTCCCAAAATGTTCCGCGGTAGCTCCAACAGCGCCCTCTATTTCCGCTCCTCCTCAATTTTTTTACTTTTTACCAAAGAGCATCAAGGAATGGGAAATTGCACCAAGGCAAATGATCGAAAGCACCAAGGCAAATTATGGAGGACACCAATGTACATGAGGACACCAAAAAAGCAAAGTAGTACCCCACCTTGTCTGTACAATCCAAGCTTGAAGAAAAAAAAAAAAGCAAAAAAAAAAAAAAAAAAAAAAAAGCCGCGTGGCTGCGTCAATTCCGGAACTTTGGTCTGGCCAGAGACTGAATTTTTTTCTTTTTTGCCTTATATGAAATACCAAAGAAACAATTTCAAACAATTCATGCGTTTATGTCATAAGCTTGAGTTAGTACCAACCTTTGCTCCAAAGTCCAGCAGAACTCTAACTACGCTGACTTGCCCGCTGGCAGAGGCCGCATGGATAGGGGTGAAGTGGGTCCGATCCCTGCAGCCGATATCAGCGTCATTCTCCAGGAGGGCCTTGACCACATCTACGTGCCCTGTGAGCGAATCAAAAATGAGAATAGTATTCAATGGAGCTTGTATGCATAGACATTTGCCTTGCATGGAAAATATTGCTTTGCAAAAACAGGAAAACTTTGCAGGTTCTATTTTCAGACTTTCATGGATAAATTTTACAAAAAAAGTAAGCGAAACAACAACGTGCTGTGTGCACAACAGTAAGGCTTTCCTTCACATCCTTGCTGTGTATGAGGAGTTTACTTCCAAAACGTAATAATCAATCCGAGTGAATTGAAAAGAGGATTTTGAAGGATTCCGGGCGGTTAGGGTTAAGGACAGTATTTCGTTACCCATGTAAGAAGCGTAGTGTAGAGGGCGCCGTTCCTTCTTGTCCTGCGCGTTAATGGTTCCTCCTTTGGATGCTAGGAGTTTCACCATCTGTATGAGTGAAAATAAACAATAAATAAATCAATGAATGAAAACAAAACAGAAGGAAACTTTATGTGTATGTATACATGTTCCACCTCACACAAAGTAATTCTGAATCCATGACCACAGACATATTTTAGGCTCACACCCAACATGAATGTGATTGTCAAATCTATTTGATGCAATGAAAATCTCACGGCCAAATTTGAAATGAGGTCAATATTTGTGAAACTGAAGCACGAATACTTCTTGTAATTTCACAAGTTGGTGTTTGCTTCTGCACTGCATTCGACCCCATCTTTCTACTGAACATGCAGGATGGTTGAAAGAAAATTTTATAAAGCCGTGTTTGCATTTTATTTTTTATGAGGTAAAGCTTACAGAGACTTATCAAGTTAACCAAATTAAGCGCGCTGCGGACAGATGGTAAACTTTCCAACTTGTCAAGTGTCGACTACTGATTGTACATTTACAGGGGTGCGAGAGAATTACATCATTCATGTCATTGGGTTTACGTAAAGAATGACCTTCCAAGGGCTAAAATTAATCCAAGTGCAGACACATGTTAAAATAACCACAATAGAGTACCAAAGTGTGACGTCAGCTGTCACTGTTCTGGTTCACGCGCTGATGTCTTCACACACTTAAGCTGTGCGCGTAAAACAGAATACGCAGCGCACTTCGGTACTCTATGGTATGTTAACAATCACTAGCGATAACTTTTACAGATCAAGTCCAATGCCAACTTGGCTTAACATACCACTAGCCATACTCACATTGACATGCCCATTGAATGCTGCGTGGTGCAAGCTCGTCCGTCCAGCCCTGTCGGTCACATTGACAGTGCTAAGATGCATCATGAGCGTGTCTGCGATCTCAATGGCATTATTGGCTGCGGCTACGTGCAGCGGTGTCTGCCAGTTCTTGTCTCGTGCGTTGACGTCGGCGCTGTGCTTCAAAAGCATCTTGACTGTGCTCTGTGATAAATGAAACTTAGTTAGATGGGGGATGGCAAGTGTATTTTGAGTAATCTATTTATTAAAATTCATTTATATTTTTTCAGGCAAGAAACGAGAAACAAGAACATGTACATGAACACACCACTTAAAGACATAAAAACAGCTGTTGACTGCTTGAAAGTGAAACAAGTCACTATAAAGAAATAATACAAGGTGATCCGTGGATCGCGTGTTGGATAGCTGCAAATGATCTGCTCTTCCTTAAATGTCAAATACATGAAACTGAAAGCCGCAGCAATGAACTAACCAGGCTTTTGGAGGCCACAGCTCTATGTAACGGTGTCAGCCATCTGCTATCCTTGGTGTTGACTCGGGCACCACTCTGGGCGAGAAAATCCACGATCTCTGCTTCACCACGGAAGGCTGCGGCATGAATGGGCGTACGCCGCTCCATGTCCTAGCAAAAGGAAACAATTTACAAACATTCAAACACGAAACTGCCAAAATATTATGAATTACCCTACTCTTTTGTATGTAAATAGGATCAAGCATTCTATGAAGTTATTGTGCCTGGTTTGCTGTCATTTTCAAGAAAAGAAGAATTACTATCATTTCCTTGAATACACAGTGTTTTAATAAATACTTCTTTCTCCTGATCAAAGTGCATGGTTTGTTATTTTCTTGGGACTTACCGTGCTGTTGACATCTTCATTCATATACACAAGGCCTCTAACCTCGTCAGCATCACCATAGAACACAGCCTGAACCAGTGGTGGCTGAACAGAAACAAAAACACAAAACAAAAAAGGAAGGATTTACACTTTTATGTTATACCACTTTTGAAGAAATGTTGGGTTCTAAAAAGAACTGGTTTGAAAATGGTCCTGTTTTGCACCAACCGATATCACTGGTCCAAGCTGTAGTTGGGATCGTCCCTATTAAAGTGTTCCAGCAACAGTTGTCATGGACTCAGCATACATGTACATGTAGTTTTCTCGGCAGAATTCATCAAAAACGTGTAAGTTAGTGTATCTAGAGTTTGGACCCTCAAAAGCATGCTTTACAATGATTTTCCATTTGCAAGGCGGATCTGTTTGTTTGCACCAAACAAATCTTTCCCAAAAGTTTCTTTTTTTTCAGAGGGTTGCTGGTGTGCAAAATGCATGTAGAAAGATTAAAAAAAAATTTTTTTATTACAATAAAAAAAAATACAAGTTCAAATTTCACAGGACAGTACATCTTTAAAGAAGCAGAAAAATACTAGGACCTATAGACCCTGTATTTCTTTTTCCATGATCTCTTACTTCTCTTTCTGATGGTTCCCTTTTTCTTTTTCCATGGTCCCTTATGTCTTTTCCCATGGTTCCCAAGTTCTTTTTCCACGGTCCCCAGTTTGTTTTTCCATGGTTCTCAGTTTTGTTTCACGGTTCCCTTCAGGAGATGGAAGCAAATCCCACAGCTTCCTCCAGACATTCTGACAGGAAGGGTGACTCAGATGCATCTAGCTAGATGCTTCCACAACAAATATACATGTATACACATGTAATGTGCTGTACAACTGAATGTTCCTCCCTACATGTACATGTATACAATGTACATGTACATGTACTTTCCTTGCTATACACATGTACATGCAGAATACTTACACATGTCCATACACGCACGCAAACGTGTGTTCACCGTCGATCGTGGACGTCCTATTGTCCCTCTTTTGTTTGTATACTAACTTTTTAGGAAGACTCCCATAGGTTTTGTACACGACCCCAATCGCAGACTTATGCTGGGAATCGTGGACGATAGTGTTCTCTTTTGTTCTCCGGTGTTTTTCGTCCACGGTTTGAAAAGATGAACACGTACATGTATACACTGTATATATCACTTGAGGTTATGGATATGTACTTTCAGTGTTTACAACCAAACCAAGTTGTATTAAGTTTTTACTTAATTTTATTCTAACCCTCCAAAATCCACTGCCTTTGTAGTTTTCCTGAAGTAATACATTAGAATGATCAGTTGTTCTGCTAGGACAGAATAGTTTTTAATTAAAAATACCGTACACGTATCACAATCAGATTCTAGAAAAACTGTGGCATGCATTCTTGTACCGGTAGCTGACCCCGGAACTTACGCAACGTCCTCGCGCTAGATCAGCGTTGAACAGAAGATCGGAAAACACCACAGTGGGATCGGCAATAGAGATAGTCGGTCTGTCCAGTGTCAAACCTTTCTCTATGGTCAAACTAGCCAGCTCCACTGTAGTCGTCATGATGATTTGAGAATTCACAAATGTATAAGAAGTTGATGATGACGCTCTCGATCCAAACTTGCAACTTGGAAACACTTGAATGTACAAACTGGCAGATTCAGGGAATCAGATCGCACTATGTGTTACAATCCCATAGCCTCCACGGAACCCAATGAATGCACAATACGTATTATATTTTGAACAGAGGTCTTGTTTCAGGCTGAAGCTGAAATTGACATGATACATGTAACAAGATAAGCTCAAATATCCCTGGTAGATAGCCAAGTTCATCACAAGTTCAAAATTAGCGATGCATTGTCTGTACTATCATCTAGGAATGTTCCTGGTGGTAGTGCGGTAACATTCAACAGCCACCAAGTCTGCAGGCTAGAATACAGGGTACTGAAGACCAGCCACTCTCCCCAGAAACAACAGCACAGTGTCAACCAAAACTTTCTGTGACAAATGGACTTGAAAGTTTGATCTCCCGCGACGCTTGGAATGCTAGCAGGACCCTAGCTGGAGGGAAACATCCAAAGTAGTTAACTCACGAGACAAGTCCACATCTTGGACAGCTGCCATGGCTGCAGTGCAAAATATGAATATCCCAGCAGGGAAGCGTGGCCCACACTGTCCATGCTGAGTCTCCACCCGCGTGAGTCAAGTTCTTCAATCTTCCAGACAGGACATTGTTAATAACTGACGGCCAAAAATATCCTGCGGATTACATTCATTTGTGTATCCAGGGCCAAACTACTGTGTAGTACCATGGGTAAAAGGTTTGTCACTACCATACATGCATGCACCTCAACTAAGAAAGTTAACCTACCAACAAAATGGAATACCCTTTACTGTTTGTACCGGTACATGTACATGATGCTGGGGCAAAGCCACTTTCCACTAAGAGGGGGTTCTATGTATTTTCAGGACAAAATCGGATCTAAAACTGGTTTGCATTTTGGTCTGCATTTTATTATCTTACATTTTTGCCAAAGGGTGTCCATTACACAACATTTGAAAGTTCTTTCAACCGCACTTAACTTGGAATATCTCACTGACCACTATCTAAGAAGTAAGAAGCTAAAACTGGTAACAAATAATACAAAAATAGCATCCTAAAATGAGAAAATGCAATGATACGAAGTCTGGTATATAGGAAGCCCATACAGGAGGCTAACTCGGTTTCCAATAAAATGACCCAGTATCAAGCAAAAACACCTACAATACATGTAACCCTAACCCTAACCCTTTCTCTGGCATATTCTCAATTATCATTTTTTAGAGGATGGTCGGGGGGACATTTTGTAAAAACAGCGATTTCTTCATCCAAGGCCAAAAAAAATAATAGTTCTGCTTCTGGTTACCCTAAGTACCTACCCTATTTTGACAGCCCCTACCCAAATTTTTTTTTGGGGGGGGGGGGGAATTGAGGAGAAAAATGCATAAAACCATCAATTACTTCCTTTTACCCTTGACTACACCCAGAACGTCGGTGTTATCAGGACGTGACGAAAAACTTGAAAAATTGATATTTTTTTCGATATTGACTTTTGCTGGCCATCTAATTGCATTCGACCAAGTTTCAAAGCGAAATATTGTTTACTTTTGTAATTATCGTAAACAAACATTTTTTGACAAAAAGCCTGAACTCAGTGTTTTTCTGTTTTCAAGAAGTGACAAACAGTCACCTCGTTAGAAGTGACAGAGGGATTGTGCATTTCTCTACATGCGTTAGGATGGGAGTGGACGCGCGCTGACGTAAATGTAACAATTTCTCACCCATTTTATGTTTTCACCAAGTGACAAAAAGAGTGTGTACAAAGTAATGGGGAAAATAAAAGGCATCTGTGTATTGCTGTTTTCATGAAGTGTAAAATATCTTTATGAAGTACTGTTTAATTATTTAAAAGAGAGACTTGTTTTAACAAACAACATGAACAACTTTGAAATAGCAAAGAACAAAGCATACTTTACTTGACAATGCCAAAATTTCCCAAATCTGTTAGTCAAAAATGTGTTTTAAAAACAGGAATAACTCCAAATGCGATTACCTCAGGATGACCTTTATTCAAGATATAGGTCTCGTTCAAATGACGTCATTTCCTACAGACCATCCATGTGCATCGGTATTTTGAGCGTCAACTTTCATAACGCACATCAGCTGCGTCGTATTTCGAACACATTTCGATCAACAAGCGGGCGTGTTTGTAACATTTTCACCACTGCGCAATGCGTGCTCGATTGCGTAAAATACTCAGTTGCACTTCTCCTACAGAAATGGCCGTCATTGCACGAGCCCTACTGAGGTTTGTGAAAAAAGCATCGACATGATCACGACGAAAAAAATAAGGTGTTTCACGGTAATATGTGCCATCTTGCTTGCGGGGCAAGTTTACAAGCGTTGCTGTGTACTCATCGTCAATGGAAAACTTTGGTGCTTCCAAGTCATCATGCGGTCATTGCAAAATGTGCCCGCATCTTACTCCTACTTTCCTAGTCCTAGAACTTGTTTGCTTCTACAGAACACCAACAGACCAACTAAGTACAAAAACGTCCATCAAAACAAAGCCATTTCCCACCCAATTTCCTAACAAACATGCTGAAGAAAAATAATCTCTGTATCTGTGTAGGTGTACGTTGCAAGAAACCAATTCTGGCAAAAGAGCAACGGGAGGGAAAAAAGCCTAAAACAAAAGTAGGCCTAGGCTAAAACTAAAAGTTATGCCAATCACATCTTCCCACTTTTTTCGGAATGGAAATTAAAAGTTTTGTATTTTGTAATCTCGGATTCGGAAAAAAACGCAAGGAACAGAATGGTTGGGGCGAGTTTGTACGGGCAGTATTAACTTAACGTCAATGGGGCGAGTCGATCAAAATTCGCCAGTTCACATTTTTCGCCGATCGAACGTCAACTAAGACGAGTATGTTTAAAAACAAATTGTCTCACCTCGTGGTCAAGCTGCTGAATCACCATATCGGATAGAGAAAAGACACCCTGTGACATGAAAGACAATTCGAGATTTGATGAAAAAAATTGTCAGTTTTCCTAAAATTTGACACCGCACCAGAAGTTCAGCACATTCACATCCATTTGTACATGTTGTGCGTGCTGCTGAATTCTATCAAACGCGTCATTTAATTGGATGACAGACAGAGGTTGGACGCCTGCCGCACTATCTTACATTAATTTCCATTGGTTATTGAAGCAACTGACTGACTTGTTGGGTAAGTTCGATGACCCCACGGCTGGTACTCGCCGCATGCGCTGTGCCGATATTACAAGTTGGCGCGTTATTTCCATAGATATAGAATAAAAAGACTTCCGGTTCCCCGCGTACGCGCGCCTGTAAATGTATACATTTGTAATTGTAGCTAAAACAGCTGGATCGATCCAAAGACCAAACAGCTATAGTACAGCTGGCTGGAGCTGGATGCAACAACTTCCTGGTATGTCATGTATGTTGGGTGTTGTAATGTTATGATGATAGGATTAGGACCACAGTTTCTTACGAAAGCCCATTAGCGCCACTGCAAGTATATATGTTGCGGATTATTTAATTCGTTATTACGGATTATTAATTCGTTATTACGGATTATTAATTCGTTATTACGGATTATTATTTCGTTATTACGGATTATTTAATTCGTTATTACGGATTACTAATTCGTTATAACGGATTATTTAATTCGTCATTACGGATTATTAATTCGTTATTACGGATTATAATTCGTTATTACGAATTACTCATACGTTCTGAGTCATTACTCGGCAAGTATGGCACAGGAGTGCAAACGTTGTATGCAAAGATATAGCGCCGCATAGCAGCGATATACATAGGCCCCTGGTCACGTGCTCTCCACGTGTGAGAACATCAGACTTAATTCGTAATAAGGAATTATTAATCCGTAATAACGAATTAATAATCCGTAATAACGAATTAAATAATCCGTAATAACGAATTAATAATCCGTAATAACGAATTAGTAATCCGTAATAACAAATTAATAATCCGTAATAACGAATTAATAATCCGTAATAACGAATTAATAATCCGTAATAACGAATTAAATAATCCGTAATAACGAATTAATAATCCGTAATAACGAATTAATAATCCGTAATAACGAATTACATAATCTGTAACATATATACTTGCAGTGGCGCTAATGGGCTTTCGTAGTTTCTTGCTCATTTTGAATGAATGGTAAGTATTGTGATTGGAAAGAATGTTGCAACTGACGCCACTTTTTTCTTTATTTATCATCTCAATAAAGGTCAGTCATCAAGTGGTCATTGCAAAAAAGTTGAAAAGACATGAATCTGGAGAGTCACCTCGAAGTTTGCTTCATTTTCCCCAGTGTTTATTTTTCGTTTGAAAAAGGCAGTGCGCGTTGCTTAAAATATCCAAATAAAATATTCAAATGTGGGCGGGGGGGGGGGGGGGGGGGGGGGGGGTGCACACCTCCCCTAGTCCTCACAGTCTCTCCCCCCCCCCCCCCCCCCCTTGCCCAGATGCCGCTACATCTATCCCCCACTTGCTCCCCTATGGTGAGCACACTGGCTATGTTCCTATGGTTATGCGTTCGTCACTGAGTTCTATTGTTTTGAAAACGTGTGACAATGATCTTGGGATAGTTTTATATCCAAAATTCTGGTGCTGAAATAACTGTAACATATTATTGACATTATTGAGCAATTGATTCTTTTTCTTTCCATTGTTGTTCAGTACAGGTTTGAGCTGTGCTTTCCAGTGAACCAAAATGCTCCCCAGCTGCAAAACAGGGCTTCTCATCTTAACCTCACCGATAAACCAACTCGTCAAACGAATCAGTCCCATACTATGCCATGCGGCCAGCTGCATATTGGAAACAGTCTACGTACAGCTGCATCCCGGCCTTGACCACGAACTGGAACCGTACAAACAGAGACCGATTCCCGTTACGCAAGATGTCTGCGCAACCATCACTGCAATCTACGCCAAGTCGGCGCAGCTACAAGGGCAAGATGTCAGAGTACTCGTAAACAATATAAGTAACCGGTCTGGCACCTTGCCTCCCACTAGACTTCTCAAAGGAGAAGTGGGTCTGGTACTGACTGACTGCTCCGCTCCAAACAAACTCCAAGCGTTACTGAAGTCATGGTTTGTATTCCCAACAAATCCTGTTGTGGAAATCATACCAGAGTCTGTCTGGTTAGATGTTAACAGTTCTGCACCAGTGGATACTGATGCTAGCGAAGTAGACTGTTTGCCGGTTAAGAGTTACGGAAGCGTTGTTCTTGGAGGAACATTCGATCGCATCCACGCTGGACATAAAATCCTGCTGAGCGAGTCGGCTATCAGAGCAGAAGAGAAGATTACAGTTGGTGTGACAGACATATCCATGCTGCAACGTAAGAACGCATCAAATCAAGTTTAAAACAACCCTTATTAAATTCTTTCTCTTCATTGGCCGAGAGTAGGTCATAAATGTATAATGTTCAGTATTTTATATTAATACAACACTTGAATATATCCCCCTCATCTGATTGCAGGGAAAACACTACCAGAGTTGATCCAGCCAATGGATGCGCGCATCGCGTCTGTCCGTGACTTCATCCAGGATATCAAACCACGCATCTTACAATCAGACTCCATCGTGCCCATCACGGATCCTTACGGCCCCAGCGTGGTGGATCCAGACATGAGGTGCATTGTGGTCAGTGAGGAGACCAAGAAAGGTGGAGATGCTGTCAATAGGGTCAGACAGCAAAAGGTATGCGCCAACTTGTATGCTTAGTTAGGTGGAACAATACTATTTGTTTCATTGCTGGTTCCATAGGGCCTATCTAGTCTTCTTTGCACATCTAACTGAATGAATCACTGTCTGTTAGTTTGGGAAGAATTCGAGTTATAGGTAGAGCAAATCATTTACAGCTATCCAAAAAGTAACCTGACTTTTGGATATGTTTATATGCGTGTTTCAAGATTTGAGAGTATTATTATCAGGCTTTGAAAATTTCTTTTTTTTTAATCTTGCATTCAGGGTCTGTGTGTACTAGACATGCATGAGATATCTCTAGTAGAGGACATCAATCATGCTGCACATGAAGAAGCTAAGATAAGTTCCTCAACACAAAGGATTCGACTCCTAGGAACACTGCTCAAGCAACCCACGGTGAGTAATGCAGCGTTGCATTCAGAGTGCTAATTTTCATTGGGTTTTGCAACAATGAAATTTGGTATTTATGCACGGTGCCCACGTGTGTAGTATGCAGGGCATAGTGGCATGCGGACTCAAATCAAGTTTTAACACAAAACTTCGACAATGGTTGAAATGGTTGTCAATTGTTATAAAATTTCCCCTTAGAATAAAGATCTACCTGGCACCCCATACGTGATTGGTCTGACCGGCGGCATAGCCAGCGGGAAGTCTTCAGTATGTAGACGGCTGGAGGGGCTCGGTGCTGCAGTGATTGACTGTGATAAGCTGGGGCACAAGGCTTACCTACCAGGCACGCAGGGATTCAGGAGAGTGGTGGCTGAGTTTGGACAAGGTGGGTGCTGGTAGCTCGCAACAAGGCAATTAAGCAAGCCTAGTAAAGCTAAGCGGACAAAATTCACAGAGCGGAAAACGTATTCTTTTCGTTGTTGGGTTGAAAATGAGATTTGAAGGTTTGCATGGTGGACATGATCAATGAAGTTTGAATGAATGATCAGTTTGCAGTAACATTATGTGAATGATAGCTCTTTGTGAGTTATGTGGTTCAGTTGGTTTAACTCGACATTTCCAACAGAATTTAGTAAGTGGATTTAATTATTTTGAAATCATCAACTGTAAAAGGTGTAAAACGTATTTTCCTCAGATGTTGTTGGGGCTGATGGTAGCATCAACAGGCGAGCCCTCGGCGCTAAAGTCTTCCAAGACCGATCCCGTCTGGACCGGCTGAACCAGATCGTCTGGCCGGAGATTGCCAGCATGGCTCGGGAGGAGATGAGGGTCCTGGGTGATGGAGGATGCCTGGTGTGTGTGCTGGATGCAGCCGTGCTGATTGAAGCTGGGTGGGACGGGTTCTGCCATGAGGTGTGGTCATGCATTATTCATAAGGATGAGGTGAGTCACGCCTCCCTCCCATTGGCTGATTGAAGCTGGGTGGGACGGGTTCTGCCATGAGGTGTGGTCATGCATTATTCATAAGGATGAGGTGAGTCACGCCTCCCATTGGGCGATTGAAGCTGGATGGGATGGCAAATGCCATGAGGTGTGGTCATGCATTATTCATAAGGATGAAATGAGTCACGCCTCCCATTGGGCGATTGAAGCTGGATGGGATGGCAAATGCCATGAGATGTGGTCATGCATTATTCATAAGGATGAGGGGAGTCACACCTGCCATTGGGTGATTGAAGCTGATCGATGAATACAGTCAGCTTAGCTATGAAGCATCGTCCCATCTTCCAGTCTTATTTATTCTGGATGTCTGAAAAATTTCAACTAGAAAATGTACACCAAAATCACCTGTGCAAATCCTATGGTAAAAATGGCGGATGAGACATTGTTTGGACTGATCATATTGGAGATGACCTCGCATGACGTCACACTTCTACGGCGTATTTGGCAATTGAGGACAGATGGGAATTCTGCCATGATGCAGATGATTTATTACTTTTTTTCTATCAGGCCTTGAAGCGTATTCTAGACAGGGATCGTCTAGCAGAGGAGAAGGCACGACAGCGCATAGAATCCCAGCTCAGTAACCAGGAACGTGTGGATCATTCCAATGTCGTCTTCTGCACCTTCTGGGAGCCAGAGGTCACTCAGAAACAGGTACAGGTCGGGTTTAGCCTCTTCTTTTTTGGCCATCACCTCGTTATTTTTTCACCAAGACTCATTCTACAAACATGCTAACACATTCGTCCATTCTTTCTCCATTTTATTGTATCTTAGGCGGAGAAGGCTTGGGCTGGGCTTATGGAGAGATTACCAACTTCCGAAGCCAAACCACAGCAGCCTAAACTATGACGGCCGAAGGCACCAGGAGCTTGATGTAGCTTGTATGCCATCAGTGGTATTACACAATGCACCATGGACATGAACTGTGGCTGAAATGCTTATGCGATAAACCAGCCTAGATGTGGTTTATTCCTCAAGCAGGGGGAAATAGGATGGAAAAAAAAAATTGAAAGTGTGTGACTACAATTTGAGCCCTTATGGAATGTTTTTATTGATAAATATAAGCAAGCATGGAATGGAGTAATGCCAATTATTTTTTCAGCAGTTTATATGCTGCTGATGTATTCAAAATGATATGGGCCAGTATTCACATCATTAAGCTTCTAATAATAACATAGGGGACCCAATAACTGTAGACATTTTTCCCTTTTAAATTTCAGTTCTTCTCAAATTTCAGGATTGATGATTTAATTTGAAGTAGTTGAACAAAGTACGACAGAAAATAAACACATATACTTCAACACAGTAATAAATATTAATACGCAAGTTGGTTCATGTACTAATTGGATAAATAAACAAAACTAAATGAAAAACAATATTTCTCTTGCACATTTATCGTGATCTTTACCTTGATTCACCAATAGACGTTTACTTCATGCACATATGTACCCCCACATTATAATTTTATTAAAAAGACTTGTAATTCTTCACATTTCCAATAAGAAAACCTGTTGCCGTCCAGTGGTTATGGTGTTTGACCCACGTTTCATGGTACATGGGTTCAAACCCCGACAGGGAACATGCTTTTGTTCTTGGGCAAGACACTTTACTCCAATTACCTCTTTCCATCCTGGAGTACAAATGGGTACCAGGGGTACCTGTGAGGGTAGAGACCAGATTGCGTGGATCTCTGCTGCAGAAAAGTGGTCTCATGGCTTGATGAACGGGGGTAATAACTAAAGTGCTTTGAGACCAATTAATATCGCACACATTTGAGACACGATTATTACTTTGCTTTTAAATGTATTTGTATAGTTTGTAATTTTTGTAATTTTTGTAATCTACAAATAACGACTTTGTACAAAGTGCAATCAAGTTTTTTTATGGCGAGAAACATTTTCAAATGTCAAATCGGAGAAATGAACTTGAAGCTTTTATTGGAAATAAAAAATGATTTAGAAACAAGATGTGATCATAATTACTTGAGAATTTGAAACGAGTCTTTTTTATGTAGTTTTTATTATTTTATCCCTATAAATATGTTACTGTGCAGAGTACAGTTCTTGTGTATTTTTTGACAAGCCTGGTTGACAAAATACCATTCCACATTAACATGACCAAGAACACTCCTGGTGTTGCATGAGCTGATAAAATCCAAGTACATGTATAAAATTACAATACATTAATCACAAATGCACTTTATTATCAAATCATTGCACTTTAGGTTTGAACTTCTTTCACTTTACGCAACACTTGCTTTTTTCAATGACTTTTCAAAAGGTACCTGTACTGTATGGAGTATACTTCAAACTTGATGTAAAATTTTAAAATGCCCGAGCTTTTTCTAACAACCAACTACAAATTTATCTATTACTCAAAAATGAAGTCCCATAGTGCGCTTTATAATGATGGCCAATTACGACAGGTGCAAATGTGTTTTTTTAATTAATTTTCTGAGCCGTATTCGGGAAGGTTTGTACCCCTAGTCCTGTAGAATCCCTTCATGACCCTCTCAATGCGGACATGTTCCCGACATGGTCCCTCTAGCGCCGAGCGGTGGCCATAGGCCGAGGATGTCAAAACAGGGATTGCTTTCTGCGACTCCTGAAATAAAAAGGATGAAAGGACTTATAGAAAATATGAGCCAGTCTAATAGTTTCACAAAAAAATTACAGGACTTTGTAGCCTTTGCAAGTTCAACTGTGAGGAGAATTTGTACATACCGGGTAATTTGCAATTTTGGAGATGGAATAGGGGCAATGATTTTTCTATTTAAAAAAATTTCATTTTTATAAACAAAGAAAAACACTTTCAAAACCCTGTTTCACATGAAGTGGATGTTAACTGAAAAAAAAATGATGCACAGACGAGTTGGGTTTTTGGAACAAAATTTCAATAAAATCAAATATGTGTAAAAGTTTCACCAAGAACATCTCACAGCATGGCTTTATTCTTAAAAGGCCATTTATTTGCGCCCATTAGGATCGGAAGAACGCATTTGTAAGGATTTACAATGTATTTCAGACATGCACATTGTAAGCACCTTCAGCAGTCTTTCTTTACTCAATGAGTGTGCAGATTGTTAAAGTAAATAATTTTCGCACATAAAAGTAAAACTACTGTAAGCGAAGAATGCAAAATCAAACAAGGAGTAACTCCAGGTTTTACCCTAGGGTTTACTTCACAAAACCCTGCTCAACCTTGCAAAACGTTGAGATAAACCTCGAGTTACTGCCTGTTTAATTTTGCATTCTCCCCCCAACAGTACCCAACACATAAACATTTACATTTAATGCCTATTTAATCGCTCGAATTTCCCATGTTCTTCTCCCATCTTCATTTTTTGTTTACAATGAGGTTTCCAAGTACGGAGAACGGGAGAAGTTGCCAACACGTACAGGACCTTTTGCCTTTGCTGTAATTCTTGTTCTATATTGTCTTTTGCTGTTGTTTATTCTGTATCTAAAGAGCACACCACAAACTCACCACTCTTTTCACGCGCCCATTTCATACTAAAATAGCACCTCTGTGACATTTTTTTTGGTACTGTACAAGTTTAAAACCAAATTTAAAAACACGAACACACATACAAATGTCTTCCATTTAAAGGCTAGCGGCACAACACATCTATTGAGACAGACTGATTATAAAACCACATCCTAACTTTACAGAAGAAATGCTATGTGAAATGTTGCTGAGCAAAGGCATAGGCTCAGTGAAAAGTAGCTATAGAACCAGTCACAAGCAACATGTACTTTGGCTGGTAAACCTGTTCTTCTATGCATACCTATTCCATGGTAAATATTTTCTGCAATTTTCTTAAAGGAAACATGCAGTGGAAATTGTGTTTTCATGCACATTACTTGCAACAACACATACAAGATCTTAATAATTGTTTACATTGGAAGTGACGAGAAAGTGGTAATTTTTCAATTATTAGCGAATCTTTTCATAAATACATGTAAGAGGGCGCTATTTTACTTTTGTCACACAAGGTACTCCTTGTCAAAAGTGGAACAGTAAAATTAGTCCTTCAAAATTACCCACAAAAAAAAGTTTGGAAGAAATACTGGCCACTACTATTGTCCAAACAAGCTGTTTAACATGATAAACAAGTAAAAGTGGAACTTATTCCAAGAAAATGAAGAAAAGTGTGATATATATTAGTACACAAAGCTATAGAGACATTACTGTTCTGCCTGGAATGACATCACGTTTTGGCTTGTGAATATGGAAATTTTCATTAGCATAAAAACTAACATATTGAAATTTCTTCCTGCATTACAAAGGAGGTGGAAAGTCATGGTTTACATGGCAAGAAAGCTGTTATAAATTTATTTCAGTCACAAAAATCCTATTGCATGTTTCCTTTAAGCTTAATAAATGCTAGTTCAGACTTCACGAACATGCAAATGTGGAGCCAATTTTACATCATGAAACATTCGCTGCAAAGTTTGCCAGCATTGAAATGTGTTCAACTTCACAACTTTGCAATGCGGAAATGTACCATGACGTCACAAATTCGTGTTCGCATTCGCATGTTTACGAACCGGCCTATACACATGTACATAGCTCTGTGGAGTTGGCCCATAATAATACAAAAAGTACTATATTCTCTACATATTTAACAGTACTTAAGTATAAATGAGCTAGCAACATAAGTAGTGCTAAGGAGACATGCATACATTTTGTACAATATACAGGCTTAGTACGGGCACTGCGTGCTAAAGAAACACTCTTTCTCCTTTCTCATTGCATGCCGTTGACTTTCTTCCGCAAAACTATCATCTCCAGTTTGAGTTTCTCCCGCTGCATCTCCAGGATCTCCTTCTCCAGACGGATCTTGTCTCTCTCCTCCCTCAAGACTTCTCGCTGGAGCTCAACCACCTGGTCATCGCAGACGTGTCCAAGCAGGCCTGCTCGGCACAGCCTTCTGGGATGGGGTCCGGCGGGTGTGGAGGATGACGCTCTGACAGCAGAGTAGTAGGTACCTGGAGGATTCTGAGACTCAGGCCCAGAGTTGTGCGGCGGAGGCTGATCGTGAGCTTCTAGCGACATACCGTCTTGCAGCTCATCCAATGGAGTAAGGGAATCATCAAGTTCAAGTCTCATTGCACTGGGGTCCTCCATGCCATCCTGGTGGAAGTGCTGCTGTGAAGTTTCCAGCCCGTGATTGTGCACTTGCATCTGATTGTTGAATATTGCACGTGCACGCTGTCCGCTGAAGGATTGAGTAGGCCTGTTTGCGCGACTGTGCTGCCGATAACTGCAGTTAGTTGTAGAGGTTTTTGCCACCCTTTTCTGCAAAAGCTTGGAGGAAATTGAAAACGATGTTGGCCTGATGTCAGATTGACTGGAACTGGAAGGTGCAGCCTTTTCCATTGACACAGGAATTGTGGTCATGGAGTTGGTGCTTGTTGTGGAAGTGCTAACTGGTTGAATTGCATCGTGCTCCGTCTGGTTGTAAGCAGGATTAAGGGAAACCGCACTCTGGATCTGCAGTGTGAAATCTGGCTCATTCGGACTTTCGTCTTGGTACATCTCATCCACATCGGTGATTTCCTCTTTCACGTTTTCCCCCTCTGTCTTTGGCTCCACAGCTTGTGAGGAGGCTCCTGCAGGCTCCTGCTCCACCGATGAGGAATCGCCCTCCAAATTCAGCGCACCTGCATCAGTGCTGCCTTGTCTCAGTTCGTACGCATGTGGTGTGGTGCAAAACCCCAACTTTGTTGGATCCTGCCCTCGCGCCTCCAGGACCCTGTACACCAGTTTGGGTATGACGATGAGGCCATTGGGACTGCGGTTAAACATGTTCGGCGTGGAGTTGAAGCGGATCCTGCTGATGTGCTGCTTGGCCATGAACTGTAGCTTCTTCCACTTGTCTTTGAGGTCCCGCACAGACCTCATGACAGTAGGTCGGTTAACGTGAAGCCCCATGCACATACTGTTCCACATGTCAGCCTTGGGCGACTTTCGGGACCCTTGACCGTCAGGCTTGCGGCTTCGTATCATGGGCAGGTTTTTCTGGATTTCCTGCAGCAGGTACTCGCACTCAACCTCAGACCAGTTTGGCTTGCGTGGCGTACGTGCGAAGTTATTCGCCCGGAGGGAAGCCCTCACCAAAAATTTATTCCTGGACATGCTCGATGTCATAACGAATACTGCTCTGCAACAACAAAGCGCCTTGACAGAAATGTCAAGTTCCAACCATTTGAAAGTAGGCTTATTCGTACTTGTAAATTTAAAACTCCATGATTGAACACTAAAAGTAGTCAACAGTCATAACATTGACAACAGCACTCAATCATCAATGACAATCACATCATTGTCTACACCCGGCCGTCAAGGCCGTATACGATCTGCATGCACGTTCAAAATGAAAGGAAAAAGTGACAATTTCTACTTCTCTGAAAGAGTTATAAAGATCACCACTGTAAAGGCCGTCACATTCCACACAGTCATAACCAGTTCTATATAACACAAAATGTCAACGCCGTTTTTCCTCCTCAAATCAAGCGTTTTTTATTCCACCTTACACCGCCGATAAATCTAGAAGAAAACCTCAAGTCAAGTGTTATTGTTAGATGTATAGTCAGCATACCCATAACCATATACATTAGCATTGCATTGAAGTAGTACGGTATCTAGACCACCTTATAATAATAAACTTGTACAAGTCTCGTGCTCGCTGATAGACGTCGTCGCGTGAATATATCCGACCATGAAATATGGACTCATTACGCATGCGATAATATGCTATTTTAAGGATCATTAGAGATCAGTGAGAATGACCTGGGAAGTGCGAGGATTAACTAATAATGGGGAAAAAGGAGTCCGGTTTTCATAGGAGTCGGATTTTCATTTGACACCGGTACCGTATCCATTGCCCCCCCCCCCCCTCCGGAGGCCGACTAAAGTCGTGCAGAGCTACCACTAGCGTGGAGCATAAAGTATGGAGGAATAAAGAAAAGAACAAATACTCCTTCATAGTTCTACCTACTATCAGAAAGATGTAATGACGAAAAAGATGGCAATTTTACATGCCCTTGATAAGTGGGTCAATTAGGAAATTTTAATTAACGTCCCGTTTAACTCCTCGGTCAGCTCAGAAGTATGTGACAGGCAAAACTGAGTGGGGTTAAACAAATTCTATTATTTTATCGGGTGCCCCCGGCCCCTCCAGAAAGTTCCCTTCACCCTGCAAATTGAACTTAGTACGTGACGCCACTGACGCGCTTGCACATCCTAAGGCCAAAAAAAAAGTCTCCGGTTTCTGGTATGGAGCTTGCCCCAAAAGTGGTGCGGCGACGCGGCTTTTTTTTTTTTTTACCTGTTTTTTTTTTTTTTTTGGCTTCAAATGTCGGCTGATGACTGCAAATGGTGCCCGACTAAACTTAGTGCAAATATATGGGAGTCCAGAGAGGCCACATAAAGCTTATTCTCGATCATAACCCCGTCTAAAAACACGTTAAAATTGTGCAGCAGCAGAATTCCAGTCAAACCAGTGAGTTTGGCGGTTTTGAGACATCATCTTTTATTGAAAAAAAAACTTTTTCATTTTGCCGACGCGCATGGCTACGGCGACGCGCGCGCATACCAGAAACCGGAGACTTTTTTTTTTGGCCTAATGACTGGGTTTTTTTTTTAAAGGTGGGGGGGGGGGGGGAGAGACGACTTTTCGTTCCTTCCTTTCAGAGATTTGATTCCGATAATCCCTCGAAAACCTTGAGTTATTTACCTCTTCGTGAACATTGAGTCCGATAGTATGCTCACGATCATCTCTGTGCAATTTGCTCTCGTAGCCTTCCTTCACGTGGAACAACCGGTCATACGTGGAGTAGGGGCCAAACTGCAAGAATGTTAAATCATAAAATGTCCTGTTTTTATAGCCAACTCTTCTGTTTTGAAAAACACTTCAAACGAGGTATCATCACCCGACGATTAACTATAGGCTACTAAATCACGAAAGAGCAGCTATTCTCATTATTCCCAAGCCTTTTTCTTAATAGCGTGTTATTGAAATTAATGTTTTGAAATGTAAAATAATTTGTATTCTAAGACTGAGTTATTGAACTGAAACTAGTAAAAAATCATAATGCACTTTCTTTTCTGACCTCTTTGTTGTTGTTGAAGTAAGTGTACTTCGTTTTCATCTGTTCTTCAGTGGGTTGCTGATGTTGGACCCCCGGCCAATGCTCGCGCGACCCCGCCCCTTTGGTGGCTAGATGGTTTGCACGGATCCTACGTTCTCGCTTACAAATAAAGTTTAATAAAAAAAACCTTTAAAATGGACTTAAATGAGCTTGATTAATTTAAAAGATGTTAAAAGAGCATATTGTATATACATGTATAATAAACATAGTGCGCTGAACACTAATTCTCATATAAAAATCAAACCAAAGATTGCAACACGAAATTATTGTCCCTTATATTTATTACTTTATATTTATTAAAATAAAATGCACAAAAATAGTTGAACTTATTCAAATAGAGGAACTATCGAACAATACATGTAATTCAAAAGAGAAAATTATCATAATTATGTTTATTATGATTTTGTTCTCCCTTTCTTGAAGTTCATGAGCTTACCCCGACTATTTCTTCCCAGAGCAGTTTTAGCTCCTCTGGTGTTGGTACTTTTAAGCCATAATTTGACATTTGACTCCCTTCTCCTGGATAAGCAGCCATTTTGCAGATTTTTCTTGATATTTCCGAGTTCACTAAGAGCGGTAATGTGACAATGAAGCAAGAATAAGATTCACCGTTTGTCTTGAGTAAGCTGTAATGTTTGAAAACATCATCGGTATCTAAGTTTCTGCATACAATGCATGCACCAAGCAAGGTAACCCTTTCAGCCATTGTGTGTTGTGCGCGCGATATAATTTTGCGCTCGTCTGATTGGTCAAAAGTGACATCTTGGGCGTCCGAACAGCGCGCACGCGGTTTAGAAAAAGGAAGAACAATGGTGGATGTATGGCGTGTCATGACGTAACAAATAAATTTTGCCCGTGCATACGCGCAGTTTATGTTCAGTGTCGAGTCATCAACGACGTTAGTTTGTAACGTCAACATGCGGTACGCCTTTAGATTCGGCATTTTTGGGGTCACTTTTTGTGTGTGTACGATCATATGGAGGTGTCTGGGTGTAGGCAAGGGTATAGAAATTGATGGTTTTGGTCTTTTTCCCCCCAGTTTCCCATAACAGAACTAGGGTAGGTAGGGAAACCGGAAGCAGAACTATTTTTTTTTGGCCTAAATAAAAATGGTTTGACACTTTTTGTTATGCAGACTATCGCTGGGGTTATAATTGAATACAAAAATCGTTTTAAAAATACCTGCTTTATAACAAAATTCCAAGTACATGTACTTATCGATATAGAGAAAAAAAACCTGACAAGAATGTCCAAAACTGACGCGAACCTTAAATAAAACACATACATGTAACAACACTCATCTGAAAATTCTTATCTCATAATTGTGCATTTATTTGCATATAAGTATACAATAATACTAAACAATTCACTGTTATTACAAAAAAGTGAAGATTATTTTAAAATTGTGTAGTTAAATATCAAGCGCAGTGAGTGAAGAGGGAAACGAATTCACAAAAATCACTACAAAACAGTACAAAAAGTGGCCGTCTATTCATAAGAGATGTGGAATGTGACAAAAACTGTAATTTTCATTAAATATAAAATGAAAAAAATTACTATGCTCATATTTAAAGTATACAATACTGATTGATAATAATACATTTTATGTATACACCCCCTTTCGTAATCATCAGGTGACTAAGTTCATTATGAGGGTCAGTGTATTGGAATACATCAAACTAGTGGTACATTTGTTTTCTCTCCATTAGATCACATTATCACATTCACAGTACCAACAAAAGCTCATTATACTGTCTGACATGTGCGTCCAAATTTACGGAATTGCCCAATAGCAACTATCATGGTACATGGTGCCCCGATATACGCGTACTGCTATTATTCTCAATTACTCAATAAACTTTTATTTCAATTGATATTGAAGAATATTTTCTACGAAAAAAATGCACAGGGATTTGTTTTGTACATACATATAGGTATAAAAATATTGTTAACATATTTTTTTAACATCAATTTTTTCCCCAAGCAAGTCCATAGGGGCAGAGCGTGGCTTAGGAGTTTTGATACAAAGGATGGGAGAAAAATGAACAAGTTGAAACAGTTTAAATTTACCACTTCCATAATGCTGTTTAAACAGCTGGAAATAAGACTTTTTTCTAACTACTTCATGTACATGTTCATGATTTGTGATAAAACCAAAGTTAAAGAAACTCACTTTGTTCAACTAAATTACAACTCATCAATTTGTCCCAAACATAATATCCAATGTTTGGATATTCATTTCCCAAACAATTCCTTATAAGTTCTTATATAAGAAAATATATTCTCCCCTCATAACTTCCTCATCGCTGTTCACAAGTTTTTAAAGGGATCTAGAAGTATACACATTGCATAAAATGCCGACAAGATACAACAATGTGCCAAAAAACCAAGAGCCAAGTACACTGCAAAAACTGCAGTGTTAAATTCACACCATTGGTATCTATATAGGACCATCTGGTATTAAATTTTACTGGTGTTGTCCTATATAGATACCGAATGGTGTAATTAATCTAAATATCAAATCAATTGCATTACATTTCATTGCTTTTAATCATACAAACAATTTTAAGGCAAGACAAATCACAATATAAACCTTTCAGTTAAAAACTTTTATGTAAATTTTTATGTAAACTCCCTCGTGCCAGTTAGGATAACAAAATAAATAATATTACAATAGTGAAATATGAAAGAGTACTACACTGCATACATGTCTTTTTACAAAATTAAGGCAGAACCAGGGCCCATCAAACACGGGTAATAAAATGGGTTTTCGTGAAAACAAACATACAACTTGAACATTCATGGGGCGAAAAAAAAGGCAATTTTTTGAAGAGTTCAGGGTCTGCATCTTTAACCTTTTCAACTTGTACGCGAACCGGGGTTGGAATTTAATTGGAAGATTCGAAATAAATTAGTTTGGTGCAACTTTGGAACACTGTTCTGAAACGGGTTTACATGGCTTTTAAGACGTATGCAAACCTGCAATACCAAGCAGTATGCACTGCACACTTTTCAACTTTTTTATGTGCAGCAAAAAAAAATCAACGAAAAAAGAGGTTGCAATTTGCATATTGACACAACTTAAAATACAGAGCTAAACCAATAAGTGATTAAATTCATATGAAATATTTAGATAGCAAGAGTTTATAAAGAAAAGTGAAGCACAAGTTCCTCTTGTTAAAGTATACCTAGAAAATAATGATGGCTCAATTGCCACAGCAAGCAACCCAAAGGCTAAAAACCTCTTATTTTGCAGGTTAACTATTATAAGGTACATGTAGTACCGCCGCTCATTTATGAAGCAAAAAGAACACATTCATCAAGATATCATCACCAGTCAGCTGTCTGCAGGCCGTGTTCGACTTTTGCATTAGCACCATGGTAAGAAAGATGTGCCATGAGGCTTTTTCGTATCCAGTCTGCACTATGCAGAATGAAAGCCAGAAACAAAGTGAGAAGTACATGTAGTAGTGGTTTTTTTAGCAAAAGGTCAGAAGAATGAATATCTTCCTCCAAAACAAGATCAGTCAGCTACTGGACCGTGGTATTGAGAGCATGCAACAACAGACTAACTTCTGAAATGGGTTCTACCTGAAAGATAGCATCTTGTAACAATTGATAAGACTGAAGGCTCAATCACCACATAGACCAATACAGTTTACAGCTTGTCATTGTAAGACATCATTTTGTAAATGTGAGCTTGCGCAAGAGGCTTGCATGCGCAGAAACCATCCTTTGCATGGCTACAGAAATCTGCAGAGACTGAAAGACAGTCTGGATGGGAATGTTGAGACCCATCAGAAATTTTTGGTCTCATGATCGTGGAACAGGCAATGAATAAATTGCCGTATTACCTCAAAATACATCTTAAGGCGGAATCCTCATACTTGTAAGGAATTTGCAGATATGGCAGATGCATATGTGGCAAATAGAGGGGGGTCCGACTACTGGTATAAAGTAGATTTGCAGAAAGGGAACTGAAAATCTAGAAATACCTAGCAATAAACCTAATTTTTCTTAGGTAGTGAGAGTATCAGCCACTCTGAACACCATTCGGTGGCAAAGTTAGTTACAAACAGGAGCCTGGGACAGGGTGCTATTACTAGTAGTAGTGTGCCTGTATAGGCACTAAGAATAAGCTGCAGGACAGTAATGATCCTGGTAGGTCCAAACCATACATACCGGTCAGTGAAAGGCAGTGTTATCACTGTCATGAGTATGGACATATTAGTCCATTTTGCCCTTTAAGGTTACAAGTCAGCAAGGGCAGCAAAAGTAAAAGTAACAGTAGTAGTCAGGCACGTGCCGAGGCAGTGCCTAAGGCAGACAATGATATGTCTGGTCAAAGTAAATCACACAACAAGGGTCCAAATCCCAAGTCAGTTAAAAGGTGTGAAGTAAACGTAGAACAAGGGTTAAACGCAGTGCAAATTGACCCTGCGGAAACACTGTTAGAACAAGTGTATGATTGCAGGGACAGTAGAAGGTAAACAAGTCCGCATCTTGAGAGACTCGGCTTGCACACAAACCGCAGTCAAAGCAAAATTGTTCCTCCTGAGTGTTATCTGCCAGGTAGGCATGTCACTCTCCATGGAGTAGGGGGACAGGTGACTGTACCCTTGACATTGGTTAAACTGCATTGTGCAGTAGTTTCAGGACAAGTTGTGGTCGCAGCTCTAGAGGGACTAGAAAGGGACGTCCTATAAGGGCATGATCTTGATAAAATGTGTGGAGAAATCCATGCCAAAGAAATGTTTATTTTAACACGAGCGCAGGCAAAAACAGAGTTAGACGATGTACAAGGAGAATTACTTAAATCTTGCGATTGGAGAGTTCTGCTTTATTCCACCGGTACATGTATGAATGTTGGCTCTCTAAGGACAAGAATTGGCAACATTTGTAAAGAAGCAAGTGCTAGACTGCCACTGTCCTTCAGTAGCCCATTAAAAAACTGAGAGGACCAGGTGGCCAGTCTAACTTGCAAGAGATTCCCCAGTAAAACCAACAGTCTTGGTTGTTGGGGATTCGTTTGTGACCTGATCATCTCATGTGGCGGACGTTTCACCCTGGGGGGAGATGCAAAGGCTGGCCCACATCCAGTGGAAGGGTCGGCGGGGAGTGCGGCTTCACCGATTCGATGAACTCATAACTCAAGTATAGCACAACGCCACACAGATGCCGGACATCATCATGCTGCATGTTGGGTCCAATGACCTCAGCCTTGCTCACAAACAGTTGCTGACTTTTATGGCCCGTCAATGCCTTGTTGCCACACGCAAGATGTTCCCACATGCAGTGATTTTCTTCTCAGAACTCCTTCCACGTATAGTTTACCCCAATGCTTTGAAACAGAGTACTGTTGAGCGGGAATGGCGGTCCATCAAGCCTTAATTTTTGAAGAAAAAAAATACCAACAAGAATTGATTCACAGCAAGATGGGAATACCTTGTACATGTTCATATTCTTAAGATAGAGAGAACACAACAATTTCTCATTGACACAGGAGCTGAGGTAAGCGACATACCATGTTCCACTCGTGAGCATGCTCACTATCGTCATGGTCAAGATCTTTAAGCAGCCAATTCATCAACAATTGCTACTTACAGAGAAAACTCTCTGACTCTCAAGAACAGGGTGTGAGAAAATCACAGAAATAAACTGTGCAAAAGCAGAGAA